GGGTAGGAGCATGGTTTTAAAGTCTTCAGACTTCAGGTTGTGAGTTATTAGGTAGATCCATTTTTACGCTCTCGGAGGGATTCGATCATATTCAAATACATTCGTTCTGATTGACATGGCCATTATTTGGAGGCAAATGGTCGTGCGTATATTAAATGAACAAGACCATGGGTATCGAGCAGATAGGTGTGAGTAAGGCCTGGGGACCTACAATTAATCCTTGCAAGGATGGTTGAACCAATGTTAACCGTAATAGATGAGATAGGCAAGTAAGATCACGTACTGCACTTAGACTAGGTTCGACACATACTTGATTGGTAAATGTTTTGAACCTAAAGATAATCAAATTTGAGTAAACGCTCAATCACTTTGCGACCTTTGAGAAAGGATACGACTGATTTAAAATCAGTTTGCGAATCGGGGTGTGGATATAGGTTCACAATAGTATGTTAAAAGCAAAGTTGGGAAGAAAAGGCCGCGAATCGGGTTTTAGTCTTAATCGGGCGTTATTGTAAATCGGTTGTAACTATTTTTATCTTTAGGTACGCAAATTCTGCTAAAATTGTTAAGGCGAATTAATAGCGGAAAAGTTTCAGAATTCAGTATATGTCCTAAACTTTAGCAAATGTTTACGTCATTAAAAATTGAAACATCGGCCATTCAGGTGTCCTGATAACAACCCGAGTCAGGTAAAGTCATATGAACACAATGTAAGCCTCCCAGGCCACTTCAAATTGTCCCAAAACATAATTAACCGGTCGTAATCCCAATTAGTTGGAAGACTTGAACGTGTTCCCCAAGGCCCCAATTTACCTTACATCCCTAACTTTACCGGGTCGTTAGACCCATCATTGGTGAGTGATTAAATCAGGCCCGGAGCTATGCTAAGTTAAAGTCCATATTAAATCATGGAACTTTCCAGTATTAGCCACAATAATCTAAGATTTGAAACATTCTACCTATATTTGATCCCTGCCTTTTTAAGTCGGCGTTTCCTTTGTCATGATGTTTCGGCAACCCCGAACGGATGAATTGCAAATGTTACACATGGCACCATCCGGGCGTGCGCCACAAACTCTTAAAAGACACCCATTTGCAAACCCAATTACCACCATATAAGAAATGCCATTTGAGCCCAGATGTTAACCCTGTTACCTGAGTAGCCAATCTGAAAGCTTATACAGCCCTCCAGGAAAGTCGGTCCCAAAACTTAAAACGAAGTTTCGGATTTGAAAAGTGTTTACCAAACCAATATTTCCTGGAACCAGGGTCAATCCCACAGTTGCCCTTCCAGCACCAATCGCAGAAAGATTTCAAACACAATATAAGGCCTGGAAGTCTAAAATGGGAAATTCCTAAAAACTCCACTCTGAATCAGGAGTTTGACCCAGTAGCCCGATCGGACAGTTTACATTTCGGAGATTGTATTCAACCTTTCATCACGATTTTGGAACGTTGCCTGCATCAAGTACTGGAACTCAGCGTAAATGGGATTACCAATAACTCAACAACTTTAAAAGTTCCCCTTATCCATTTTACCGTATAATCTACCTTGACTTTTACCAATTGCTAGGTAATAACCCCAAAGCGAGTACTAATACGTCATCATTCTACCTCTCGGACCGTATGTATGAAAATATTTTTGCATTTTCTAAATAAGTTTTACCCTCACAATTCTTCCGCACTATACGCCTCTTACAATTTAGGTAACTCATCGTCCCAACTGGAACCGTAACTTATAACTTTTAAAAGTCGCCCCTATGCATTTGTATGGTCTATTCTACTAATCCAATGGTAGAATAAATCCCAAAAGTCATAGTTATTAGGTCATATCACCATTCTCCAAACCTTAACACAAGCCATGTTATAATGCATCGTCCACACCGTTTAGTTTTAAACCTTCTTTCGTTGTCACGGTATTATAATTTGAATTGTTTGTCGATGATATACATGGTGGCCCAAAATGTGGACTACCCACACGGCAACCTCTTAATAACTCACGTAATTCGTCTCCAAATTGCACCAAAATTTCAGAGATTATAGAAATTAGGTCAAACTTAGATTTCCTGAAAGTTTCGTAAGCCACGCCCAATTACAGTGGCGTGGCGTGACACTCCCTCTTTTTCACTATTGTCTTCATAAAATGATAACGCTTTAAGCTAAGAACTCAAAATTTTTTGCACACATTTGGCTTGCTAATTTAAAACCTTTCCCAAAGTTTCAAGTTCATTGATCAAAATTTGGCTGAGTTATGACCCATTTCAAAATCCATCGGATACGTGATCCGAGCACTCAGTCAGTGATCTCTGTACTCAATCAGTGATCTCGTTACCATCTGATCAAGAGTAAGGCGTTAACGTGTATTAATGAGGGTTCATTAGGCTTTACCAAACATACTGAGGAGATGACGACCTGATCATTATTGATTGGATACAGATAATGATTTTGCTAGACAGGAAAACACGAAGTTTTAGGATAAATCAATAAATGAAATCAACTAATCAAAATTCCCACACAAAGCAATTCAATAAGTCCCCCAGCTGCCATTAACCAAGTGACGAGATGTATAACTATTTGAATCCTTGCCATTTGACGTTAGTGTCACCTTTATCCAAGCTTTTTACTAGTACCCAAAAAGTCAACTTGAAATTAAGCCAAATACAATACTCGCTAAGAGCAACTAGTAATATTCAGCACTTCCTAAGTCATCGGAAGCATTTAGCAAGCTTTGACTTAAATTAGCAAAACCCTGGTTCAGACATAGTGAACTCCGTGCCTACTACCGCACGAGCTCAATAGAGCCATAAATCATGTGCCTAACCTACGGCACCCATTGTTTATTGTGTACCTGTCCGATAAGGACCTGGAAAGCCCATAAAATCTATCCAGAACTGCTACTCGTACTTGTAATCGGCAAACTCTCGTTATTCGCTTGGGCCGATTAATCATGGTCCAATCCGGACCCTACCTCCCTTAGACTACAACCCTCAGGTTATTGTCCCTTTCCTTGTTGAAAAACTCTGAACTGAATTGAAAAGCAAATGCTTCTAAGTAACTAGATTTCACTCGATGACCAACCCGTAACTTACAACCTTATAATTTCCTAACAGATAACCCCAACCAGACTGAAAAAGGCACGACCACTTACAACCAGTATCAAGGTATGACCCAAAATAATTAAGTTGAACAGCATCCCCCAGAAGGCTTAAGAACAGTCCCGTATACTCAATTCTCTCAGAGCCATGGAATCCTGGACCGGGTGTTGGTCAAATAAGAGGCTATCCGAAGGAAACCGTAGGTTGACCAGCTTAATTAAGTGACCGGTAGCTAATCCCCCCCTGGCAAGTGAGACCTGGTTCATCTAACCAGCATTCCAGGCTATGAAACCCTGGGCCCTTAGTCAACCGTTATGAAGATAAAGGACGCTGAAAGGCGGAGAAATTCCCATTCTTTGGTGATAAAAGAACGAAGGTTAAACTTAAACATAACAGGGAAGAGTGCGAGCAGCTCAAGGGATTTTTAGTACAACAAATGTAAACGAGCAAGTACTAATGAACTGGGACTCATGCACTAAACTGCAGTGACATTACACCTGACTTAGTGTATGTGTTTCAGTGTAGATGTCTATTTGTTAACTTGTATATACTAACTGTCTGACAATGAAACTTTACCATTTTACTTGTTCATGATATATATAATATTATAGTCTATAACAGTCGAGAATTTTCTAAAAGCGCCCCTGACACTGACGGATGAAATCTACCTGATTCGATGTGTTTTCGAACGCTGATTCCGAATCACCCTACATGACATATACATATAGATATCGGCGAAAAACTGTCTCGATCACGTGATATGACCATATAAGGAAGTTGGTCTAATTTCTCGTTAGGGGTAGGGTTTCTGCAAATGCTTAAATAAGGGATTGGGTTAGGGTTAGGGTTGGGATCAGATTAGAGGGTTAGTCATTCAGATTTCAGAGCCACCTAGAGGAAGTGTTAAAAAAAGTTACGTGACAGTCGAGTGTAGAGTGATTAATCGTCATACGCCAAATCTTTAGACCAGTACTCACTACTCGGTTACTAGTCGTTTGTGATTTTAGGTCAAGAACAGTCATCAAAATGAGTTAATAACAAGGTAGAATTCCCACTTCCCAGTTATTTATAAGCTTTCGTTCAGAAAATAATTCGGGACCTTCAAAGGGGGGTAAGAAGAAGAAGGTATCAAAAGCGTTCCATAATACAAAATGTGCATCAACCTCTTTCCTCTGCTGAGCAGGTTCTTACTATTTAAGTAAACAAAATATGTACCTCAGCTTACCTCCCTAGTCCCTACGAGAATCCACATCTACTAGTGAGATATAAGTTGCGTGAAAATAAGTTGCGCGCGCGTTAAATTTAAATTTATATTATATATCAGATGTGCCAAGGTAAATAGGACAAAACGAGTTTTATAGCAATAAATGCAGCGCGCGTTACGTTCAATACTATATCTTCGACTTTGCCTACAAAAGCGATCTCAGTTGTACCTCATTCAATTTTAAATTATTCAACTATTTTGTCACACAACTACACTGAAGTTCGACATTCTTTATTATCACCGTATAACACCTACCAATATATCAACAGAAGGAACATCCCGGTTTGATCTTTCTGAACTATGCATCTTATATCTTTATATCGTTATAAGGTTATAGTATTGATATCTATTTATTACCTATTGTTACCTTTTTATCTGTGCTAGTTAATCAGGTTTTTGGGTGGTTACCCTGCTGTGGGCCGTTCTTATAACTTAACTAAACCTGGCTTATGCAGGTCTAGTTTACCCATATGTAGTTTATCTATATATAGTGATTATATACGTACCAATATAACATCTCTCTTACCGTACCAAGCTATTATGACATAGTTCACAAGGTAGATTCATAATAAACAAGTAGATAATTGTAATTGTATAATAGTTTTAAAGCTTCAATAACTGACGACAAAGATTATATTAACCTGGTTAAATCCGAAGAAAATGTAGTAAATCTCAAGATGACATTTGTTGATAACATCCGACATCGGCAACACACACTGATAAGGATCGTAACACAGAACCTGAAATGTGTGGCTACATTAACATTTAACAGTTAGTTACATCTAAGTAGACATGTTTAATTAGACATAGTATACACATTCTATAGGCATCATTTTATTAATTAGCTATGTAAGCTTGACCAGACTACACAGTATTTGTGTATATTTCTTATTATATTATGAACTGTCAGGAGTTATGCAACTACCGCTCAGTCTCCGTCACGTGTCACGTGATCAATAATCGGGTATATTTCTTATTATGGGGGCGTTTCATTGGTTCATTAGCGATAATACGGTAATTAAACTGTTAAACAAATCTTTGTAGCTGTGTTAACAGTTGTAATTAGTATAATTAGTATTGTCCATCAAATCGTTTAACTTGGCTTGCGACTCTTTGTAAATACATGCAGTCAAATGGTTTATGTGGGAGTTGTTTGATTTCTTGAAGAAGACATAAATTTTTTGTATTTCTAGCAAAATTTGCTTAGCACTTAGCAGTGATTTTGTGTTCTCTTCGAAAGAGAAATTTATCAAAGTGCATACTGAACTCTGAAGAATATGCTGCCTTTTGGTAAGAGAGCATTGAGCGGTAAAACATATCATATTGCGTTATCACGTAATATAAGTTATCACTGAGGGGGAAGGGTTTTGAAACTATTACGCTATTTCTACAGAATAGTTACGTATAAAGGTGATTACGGTGAGGGCAGGACGTCTAAACATAATTACATAATGATTACATAATATGTGAATGGCCCCCTAAATGATTCTGATACAAGATATTTCCCTTTATTTTCGATGATTTGATTCAATTTTCATTTGTCTCCTTATAGTTCCTTAAAGTTGTCTAATCGTCCGATATGATCATTGATCAAGTTACTCCATCATTGCCACGGTCTCTTTAATCATAACCGATTTGATTGATGACTATTTGACGGCCGCACTAAATTTTGACAATTCGGATTTGTGAACTTTATTCATAAATATGATCAAGTTGATTTCACTTGGATTCCTAGTGAGTAGTGTATCTGAGACTACGGACGATTCTACGGTGAAATTTTCGGGCTTCTTGTGTAAAAAGAAATCAGTTATCTATAAGATTATCTAACAAATTATCTTATCACTTAATTATTTAATTAATTAATTACCTCCGGATCCTCCTCCAACTCCTCGTTTTCAATACAGGGAATAACGTCAACTCCCTTCAAGCATGAGAAATGGCGACCTGTCATATTTAAACGGTTTTAGATAATTTTTGATTTGAGAATCAGGAAAGAGCACAATGAAGGAACCCTTCAATAGTACAATCAATGAGTAAAGACGTGAATGTGGTCCATATAAGGTAATGTTGTCATGGTAATATGGTCCATATAAGGTAATGTTGTCATGGTAATATGGTCCATATAACTATATAAGGTAATGTTGTCATGGTTATATGGTCCATATAAGGTAATGTTGTCATGGTAATATGGTCCATATAAGGTAATGTTGTCATGGTAATATGGTCCATATAAGGTAATGTTGTCATGGTAATATGGTCCATATAAGGTAATGTTGTCATGGTAATATGGTCCATATAACTATATAAGGTAATGTTGTCATGGTTATATGGTCCATATAAGGTAATGTTGTCATGGTAATATGGTCCATATAACTATATAAGGTAATGTTGTCATGGTTATATGGTCCATATAAGATAATGTTGTCATGGTAATATGGTCCATATAAGGTAATGTTGTCATGGTAATATGGTCCATATAGGGTAATGTTGTCATGGTAATATGGTTCATATAAGGTAATGTTGTCATGGTAATATGGTCCATATAAGGTAATGTTGTCATGGTGATATGGTCCATATAAGGTAATGTTGTCATGGTAATATGGTCCATATAAGGTAATGTTGTCATGGTGATATGGTCCATATAAGGTAATGTTGTCATGGTAATATGGTCCATATAACTATATAAGGTAATGTTGTCATGGTTATATGGTCCATATAAGATAATGTTGTCATGGTAATATGGTCCATATAAGATAATGTTGTCATGGTAATATGGTCCATATAGGGTAATGTTGTCATGGTAATATGGTTCATATAAGGTAATGTTGTCATGGTAATATGGTCCATATAAGGTAATGTTGTCATGGTGATATGGTCCATATAAGGTAATGTTGTCATGGTAATATGGTCCATATAACTATATAAGGTAATGTTGTCATGGTTATATGGTCCATATAAGATAATGTTGTCATGGTAATATGGTCCATATAAGGTAATGTTGTCATGGTAATATGGTCCATATAGGGTAATGTTGTCATGGTAATATGGTTCATATAAGGTAATGTTGTCATGGTAATATGGTCCATATAAGGTAATGTTGTCATGGTGATATGGTCCATATAAGGTAATGTTGTCATGGTAATATGGTCCATATAAGGTAATGTTGTCATGGTGATATGGTCCATATAAGGTAATGTTGTCATGGTAATATGGTCCATATAAGGTAATGTTGTCATGGTAATATGGTCCATATAAGGTAATGTTGTCATGGTAATATGGTCCATATAAGGTAATGTTGTCATGGTAATATGGTCCATATAAGGTAATAATAATAATAGGATTATGGCCACATAGCCATCTCGACAGAACTTGAAACACATGAACTGCACTCTTCGCTATTGCAGATCACACAATATTTTCAAAAAGAAAAATGTTCCTATCCGGAACATGTTATGATTAATTATTTTTAGTGTTATGATTAATTATTTTTAGAACATGTAGTTCTGATATTAACAATCAAGAAACATTGATTCCTCGGTATTTAGCAATCAATGGGTTATTAGACATGAAATGTGCATATGAATCATGCTCACATGTATTTATTTTTGACATCAAGGTTTCGCTGAGATCCCAGAAGTGACCCTTTGACGATGCTCCACTCGCTATCAGTTCATTTTTATAACATTGAAGTCGAGCTTTGAATGCGTCTACTGAACTGGCTTCTTTAACCGAACTTGGTACTTTGTTCCAGTAATTGGCAACACGGTTACTGAGGACCTGATTTCCTCTTTTATCTTTTAGGATCTTGGTAATGTTGTCATGGTAATATGGTCCATATAAGGTAATGTTGTCATGGTAATATAGTCCATATAAGATAATGTTGTCATGGTAATATGGTCCTTATAAGGTAATGTTGTCATGGTAATATGGTCCATATAAGGTAATGTTGTCATGGTAATATGGTCCATATAAGGTAATGTTGTCATGGTAATATGGTCCATATAGGGTAATGTTGTCATGGTAATATGGTTCATATAAGGTAATGTTGTCATGGTAATATGGTCCATATAAGGTAATGTTGTCATGGTGATATGGTCCATATAAGGTAATGTTGTCATGGTAATATGGTCCATATAAGGTAATGTTGTCATGGTGATATGGTCCATATAAGGTAATGTTGTCATGGTAATATGGTCCATATAAGGTAATGTTGTCATGGTAATATGGTCCATATAAGGTAATGTTGCTATTGCAGATCACACAATATTTTCAAAAAGAAAAATGTTCCTATCCGGAACATGTTATGATTAATTATTTTTAGTGTTATGATTAATTATTTTTAGAACATGTAGTTCTGATATTAACAATCAAGAAACATTGATTCCTCGGTATTTAGCAATCAATGGGTTATTAGACATGAAATGTGCATATGAATCATGCTCACATGTATTTATTTTTGACATCAAGGTTTCGCTGAGATCCCAGAAGTGACCCTTTGACGATGCTCCACTCGCTATCAGTTCATTTTTATAACATTGAAGTCGAGCTTTGAATGCGTCTACTGAACTGGCTTCTTTAACCGAACTTGGTACTTTGTTCCAGTAATTGGCAACACGGTTACTGAGGACCTGATTTCTTCTTTTATCTTTTAGGATCTTGGTAATGTTGTCATGGTAATATGGTCCATATAAGGTAATGTTGTCATGGTAATATAGTCCATATAAGATAATGTTGTCATGGTAATATGGTCCTTATAAGGTAATGTTGTCATGGTAATATGGTCCATATAAGGTAATATTGTCATGGTAATATGGTCCATATAAGGTAATGTTGTCATGGTAATATGGTCCATATAGGGTAATGTTGTCATGGTAATATGGTTCATATAAGGTAATGTTGTCATGGTAATATGGTCCATATAAGGTAATGTTGTCATGGTGATATGGTCCATATAAGGTAATGTTGTCATGGTAATATGGTCCATATAAGGTAATGTTGTCATGGTGATATGGTCCATATAAGGTAATGTTGTCATGGTAATATGGTCCATATAAGGTAATGTTGTCATGGTAATATGGTCCATATAAGGTAATGTTGTCATGGTAATATGGTCCATATAACTATATAAGGTAATGTTGTCATGGTTATATGGTCCATATAAGATAATGTTGTCATGGTAATATGGTCCATATAAGGTAATGTTGTCATGGTAATATGGTCCATATAGGGTAATGTTGTCATGGTAATATGGTTCATATAAGGTAATGTTGTCATGGTAATATGGTCCATATAAGGTAATGTTGTCATGGTGATATGGTCCATATAAGGTAATGTTGTCATGGTAATATGGTCCATATAACTATATAAGGTAATGTTGTCATGGTTATATGGTCCATATAAGATAATGTTGTCATGGTAATATGGTCCATATAAGGTAATGTTGTCATGGTAATATGGTCCATATAGGGTAATGTTGTCATGGTAATATGGTTCATATAAGGTAATGTTGTCATGGTAATATGGTCCATATAAGGTAATGTTGTCATGGTGATATGGTCCATATAAGGTAATGTTGTCATGGTAATATGGTCCATATAAGGTAATGTTGTCATGGTGATATGGTCCATATAAGGTAATGTTGTCATGGTAATATGGTCCATATAAGGTAATGTTGTCATGGTAATATGGTCCATATAAGGTAATGTTGTCATGGTAATATGGTCCATATAAGGTAATGTTGTCATGGTAATATGGTCCATATAAGGTAATAATAATAATAGGATTATGGCCACATAGCCATCTCGACAGAACTTGAAACACATGAACTGCACTCTTCGCTATTGCAGATCACACAATATTTTCAAAAAGAAAAATGTTCCTATCCGGAACATGTTATGATTAATTATTTTTAGTGTTATGATTAATTATTTTTAGAACATGTAGTTCTGATATTAACAATCAAGAAACATTGATTCCTCGGTATTTAGCAATCAATGGGGTATTAGACATGAAATGTGCATATGAATCATGCTCACATGTATTTATTTTTGACATCAAGGTTTCGCTGAGATCCCAGAAGTGACCCTTTGACGATGCTCCACTCGCTATCAGTTCATTTTTATAACATTGAAGTCGAGCTTTGAATGCGTCTACTGAACTGGCTTCTTTAACCGAACTTGGTACTTTGTTCCAGTAATTGGCAACACGGTTACTGAGGACCTGATTTCCTCTTTTATCTTTTAGGATCTTGGTAATGTTGTCATGGTAATATGGTCCATATAAGGTAATGTTGTCATGGTAATATAGTCCATATAAGATAATGTTGTCATGGTAATATGGTCCTTATAAGGTAATGTTGTCATGGTAATATGGTCCATATAAGGTAATGTTGTCATGGTAATATGGTCCATATAAGGTAATGTTGTCATGGTAATATGGTCCATATAGGGTAATGTTGTCATGGTAATATGGTTCATATAAGGTAATGTTGTCATGGTAATATGGTCCATATAAGGTAATGTTGTCATGGTGATATGGTCCATATAAGGTAATGTTGTCATGGTAATATGGTCCATATAAGGTAATGTTGTCATGGTGATATGGTCCATATAAGGTAATGTTGTCATGGTAATATGGTCCATATAAGGTAATGTTGTCATGGTAATATGGTCCATATAAGGTAATGTTGTCATGGTAATATGGTCCATATAAGGTAATGTTGTCATGGTAATATGGTCCATATAAGGTAATAATAATAATAGGATTATGGCCACATAGCCATCTCGACAAAACTTGAAACCCAGCTGCACTCTACGCTATTTTTTTTTTTTAATCTAGACACTTATTTTACTTCGGTGTATTCCAACAGCCACATTGTTACACAAGTGCAACCAGCCAATTACAGGAAGCCGAAGGATCTTTTTGGCCAGTGACGGTTAAGGTAGTGTGTACCATACTTTCTTCGTCCGAGACTTTGCTGCAATGTGCAGCTCCTCATTTAACCCTCACACCCGATTTCTCGAGTATTCGGCTGAGTAGACCGGGGGGCTGCATAGACCACTCATGATCCTTAGCTGAACGTCGACGACGCTCACCCCACGACCAGGCAGTCAGTGGGTTTCGAACTCGCAACCTAACGATTGTAAGACAGGCGTTCTAACCAACTGCGCTACCTGGCCGTTAAAAAAATTATTGCAGTTCGCACAATATTTTCAAAAAGAAAAATGTTCCTATCCGGAACATGTTATGATTAATTATTTTTAGTGTTATGATTAATTATTTTTAGAACATGTAGTTCTGAATTTAACAATCAAGAAACATTGATTCCTCGGTATTTAGCAATCAATGGGTTATTAGACATGAAATGTGCATATGAATCATGCTCACATGTATTTATTTTTGACATCAAGGTTTCGCTGAGATCCCAGAAGTGACCCTTTGACGATGCTCCACTCGCTATCAGTTCATTTTTATAACATTGAAGTCGAGCTTTGAATGCATCTACTGAACTGGCTTCTTTAACCGAACTTGGTACTTTGTTCCAGTAATTGGCAACACGGTTACTGAGGACCTGATTTCCTCTTTTATCTTTTAGGATCTTGGTAATGTTGTCATGGTAATATGGTCCATATAAGGTAATGTTGTCATGGTAATATAGTCCATATAAGATAATGTTGTCATGGTAATATGGTCCTTATAAGGTAATGTTGTCATGGTAATATGGTCCATATAAGGTAATGTTGTCATGGTAATATGGTCCATATAAGGTAATGTTGTCATGGTAATATGGTCCATATAGGGTAATGTTGTCATGGTAATATGGTTCATATAAGGTAATGTTGTCATGGTAATATGGTCCATATAAGGTAATGTTGTCATGGTGATATGGTCCATATAAGGTAATGTTGTCATGGTAATATGGTCCATATAAGGTAATGTTGTCATGGTGATATGGTCCATATAAGGTAATGTTGTCATGGTAATATTGTCCATATAAGGTAATGTTGTCATGGTAATATGGTCCATATAAGGTAATGTTGTCATGGTAATATGGTCCATATAAGGTAATGTTGTCATGGTAATATGGTCCATATAAGGTAATGTTGTCATGGTAACACTACCATATAAGGTAATGTTGTCATGGTAACACTACCATATAAGGTAATGTTGTCATGGTAATACCTCCTGATGTGACGCAGTTAGTTCTGATGAGCCATTGATCATCTTTCTTGGATATTATCAGGGATATCGTGCGGTGTATCTTGTAGTTTAATACCTGAAATAAGGTAAAATAAAGTAAAACAAGGTAAAATAAGGTACAGTTATTGTCGTTTAACACGTCATGTACTTTTAATTTCTTATGCAAATACAAATTAAAACTATTATATTCATATCAGTCGAGATTAACAGTAACTATTAACTTATTAAAAAGGAAGGAATGAATCTGGTTACAGTTAAGTTACAGTTAAGTTACAGGATAACACGTCAAATTTATATAACTGGTACCTTGTTGGCTACTTTTTTAATTAAATTTTAATAATTTCAATAATTCTAATATTCGAGGGATTATTTAAGGCTAGCCAGCGAGTAAATACTCCATACACTCGTAAGAGATAAAGATCTTCACGCAAAAACTGCTCTAATTTCACAACTCAACACTAAATTCCTGCAAATAGCAAACGACCGTTACTACAATTAAAATACACATAATAAAATGCCCTAAATCGACAAAAAACTGCCCTAATTTTATGCCGGCTGCTTTAAAATTACACTATAACACCAGGGAACGTATCAATAATGCAGCTCATCTTATAAAAGCTAAACAAGATAAACATGCTAAAGATATAACTCAATATAGGTTAATATAAATAATATAAATCACCTCAACATTTAGTAGTTTACATAGTGCCCCACTAAACTCTGCTGGATCGTATTGTAACCATTGTACGTTAGTTTCTGTTGGCTTCGTCTTAGATACACACGTCACTTTAGTGGATCTAATAAAATATAGTGTTACAGTGTTACAGTGTTACAGTGTTACAGTGTTACAGTGTTACAGTGTTACAGCGTTACAGTGTTACAGTGTTACAGTGTTACAGTGTTACAGTGTTACAGTGTTACATTATTGCAGTGTTACAGTGTTACAGTGCTACATTGTTACAGTGTTACAGTGTTACAGTGTTACAGTGTTACAGTGTTACAGTGTTACAGTGGTACAGTGTTACAGTGTTACAGTGTTACACTGTTACAGTGTTACAGTGTTACAGTGTTACAGTGTTACAGTGTTACAGTGTTACAGTGTTACAGTGTTACAGTGTTACAGTGTTACAGTGTTACAGTGTTACAGTGTTACAGTGTTACAGTGTTACAGTAGTGTATACATACACTGTGCACTGTGTCGCGAAAATGTACCCTGTGAAAAACCGGTCCCGTAATTTTGAGCCTAAAGTAACATTTTATGTAAATTCTGAGCTTTCTAGGAGTGAGCAATTGGACAGTTATCTAGACCAAACTAAATAACTAAAGTTCAGCTATTCACCTACCTGTTTAAATACGGGTGAAAGTATTTGGCTGATCTTTCAGAGGACGGAACCGAACCAATAATCAATAGCTGCTCTGCCTGAAAACAGAAAGTGTTAGACACGTATTGTAAAACACTACATTCCATGTTGAATATAAATGTGATATATATTTTAATGATGATTATTTTACGAGAGAGGTGTGTTGTAACACAGGAAATAGATACAGGGCTTTCAGCCGGCTAACAGCCCTCTAACAGCCCTCTAACAGCCCTCTAACAGCCCTCTAACAGTAGGCTAACAGCCCTCTAGCAGCCCTCTAACAGCAGGCTAACAGCCCTCTAACAGCCCTCTAACAGCCCTCTAACAGCCCTCTAACAGCCCTCTAACAGCCCTCTAACAGCCCTCTAACAGCCCTCTAACAGCCCTCTAACAGTAGGCTAACAGCCCTCTAGCAGCCCTCTAACAGCCCTCTAACAGCCCTCTAACAGCCCTCTAACAGCCCTCTAACAGCCCTCTAACAGCCCTCTAACAGCCCTCTAACAGCCCTCTAACAGCCCTCTAACAGTAGGCTAACAGCCCTCTAACAGCCCTCTAACAGCAGGCTAACAGCCCTCTAACAGCCCTCTAACAGCCCTCTAACAGCCCTCTAACAGCCCTCTAACAGCCCTCTAACAGCCCTCTAACAGTAGGCTAACAGCCCTCTAGCAGCCCTCTAACAGCCCTCTAACAGCCCTCTAACAGCCCTCTAACAGCCCTCTAACAGCCCTCTAACAGCCCTCTAACAGTAGGCTAACAGCCCTCTAACAGCCCTCTAACAGCCCTCTAACAGCCCTCTAACAGCCCTCTAACAGCCCTCTAACAGCCCTCTAACAGCCGGCTAACAGCAAGCTTTCAGCCGGCTAACAGCCCTCTAACAGCCCTCTAACAGCCCTCTAACAGCCCTCTAACAGCCCTCTAACAGCAGGCTAACAGCCCTCTAACAGCAGGCTAACAGCAGGCTAACAGCCCTCTAACAGTAGGCTAACAGCCCTCTAACAGCCCTCTAACAGCAGGCTAACAGCCCTCTAACAGTAGGCTAACAGCCCTCTAACAGCCCTCTAACAGCCCTCTAACAGCCCTCTAACAGCAGGCTAACAGCCCTCTAACAGCAGGCTAACAGCCCTCTAACAGCAGGCTAACAGCCCTCTAACAGCAGGCTAACAGCAGGCTAACAGCCCTCTAACAGCCCTCTAACAGCCCTCTAACAGCCCTCTAACAGCCCTCTAACAGCAGGCTAACAGCCCTCTAACAGCAGGCTAACAGCCCTCTAACAGCCCTCTAACAGCCCTCTAACAGCAGGCTAACAGCCCTCTAACAGCAGGCTAACAGCAGGCTAACAGCCCTCTAACAGCCCTCTAACAGCCCTCTAACAGTAGGCTAACAGCCCTCTAACAGCCGGCTAACAGCCCTCTAACAGCAGGCTAACAGCCCTCTAACAGTAGGCTAACAGCCCTCTAACAGCCCTCTAACAGCAGGCTAACAGCCCTCTAACAGTAGGCTAACAGCCCTCTAACAGCCCTCTAACAGCCCTCTAACAGCCCTCTAACAGCAGGCTAACAGCCCTCTAACAGCCGGCTAACAGCCCTCTAACAGCAGGCTAACAGCCCTCTAACAGCCGGCTAACAGCCCTCTAACAGTCCTCTAACAGTCCTCTAACAGCCCTCTAACAGCCCTCTAACAGCCCTCTAACAGCCCTCTAACAGCAGGCTAACAGCCCTCTAACAGCAGGCTAACAGCAGGCTAACAGCCCTCTAACAGCCCTCTAACAGCCCTCTAACAGCAGGCTAACAGCCCTCTAACAGCCCTCTAACAGCCCTCTAACAGCCCTCTAACAGCAGGCTAACAGCCCTCTAACAGTAGGCTAACAGCCCTCTAACAGCCCTCTAACAGCAGGCTAACAGCCCTCTAACAGTAGGCTAACAGCCCTCTAACAGCCCTCTAACAGCCCTCTAACAGCCCTCTAACAGCCCTCTAACAGCAGGCTAACAGCCCTCTAACAGCCCTCTAACAGCAGGCTAACAGCCCTCTAACAGTAGGCTAACAGCCCTCTAACAGCCCTCTAACAGCCCTCTAACAGCCCTCTAACAGCAGGCTAACAACCCTCTAACAGCAGGCTAACAACCCTCTAACAGCCCTCTAACAGCCCTCTAACTGTAGGCTAACAGCCCTCTAACAGCCCTCTAACAGCAGGCTAACAGCCCTCTAACAGCCCTCTAACAGCCCTCTAACAATAGGCTAACAGCCCTCTAACAGCCCTCTAACAGCCCTCTAACAGCCCTCTAACAGCCCTCTAACAGCCCTCTAACAGCCCTCTAACAGCCCTCTAACAGCCCTCTAACAGTAGGCTAACAGCCCTCTAACAGCCCTCTAACAGCAGGCTAACAGCCCTCTAACAGCAGGCTAACAGCAGGCTAACAGCCCTCTAACAGCCCTCTAACAGCCCTCTAACAGCAGGCTAACAGCCCTCTAACAGCCCTCTAACAGCCCTCTAACAGCCCTCTAACAGCAGGCTAACAGCCCTCTAACAGTAGGCTAACAGCCCTCTAACAGCCCTCTAACAGCAGGCTAACAGCCCTCTAACAGTAGGCTAACAGCCCTCTAACAGCCCTCTAACAGCCCTCTAACAGCCCTCTAACAGCCCTCTAACAGCCCTCTAACAGCAGGCTAACAGCCCTCTAACAGCCCTCTAACAGCAGGCTAACAGCCCTCTAACAGTAGGCTAAAAGCCCTCTAACAGCCCTCTAACAGCCCTCTAACAGCCCTCTAACAGCAGGCTAACAACCCTCTAACAGCAGGCTAACAACCCTCTAACAGCCCTCTAACAGCCCTCTAACTGTAGGCTAACAGCCCTCTAACAGCCCTCTAACAGCAGGCTAACAGCCCTCTAACAGCCCTCTAACAGCCCTCTAACAGCAGGCTAACAGCCCTCTAACAGCCCTCTAACAGCCCTCTAACAGCCCTCTAACAGCCCTCTAACAGCCCTCTAACAGCCCTCTAACAGCCCTCTAACAGCCCTCTAACAGTAGGCTAACAGCCCTCTAACAGCCCTCTAACAGCCCTCTAACAGCCCTCTAACAGCCCTCTAACAGTAGGCTAACAGCCCTCTAACAGCCCTCTAACAGCCCTCTAACAGCCCTCTAACAGCCCTCTAACAACCCTCTAACAGCCCTCTAACAGCCCTCTAACAGCAGGCTAACAGCCCTCTCACAGCCCTCTAACAGCCCTCTAACAGCCCTCTAACAGCCCTCTAACAGCCCTCTAACAGCCCTCTAACAGCCCTCTAACAGCCCTCTAACAGTAGGCTAACAGCCCTCTAACAGCCGGTGGGCATTCGCCGTTACCACAGCCCCCTACAAAGAAGAGACACAGCCAACTGGCAAGATGAATGCTACGTGCGTGGTACAGTCACGTGGTACATTTATGTCACACAACATTGCAGTCACGTGATCATGGGCCATGATTGAATCAACTCGGAAAATATGGGAATGAGAAAATTACTCTGCAATTTTCTCATTTAATTACCATCGGAAATTTGAGGACACAGTACATATTTGTCTGGCAGACCTGTGTTTTGTCTAGCAGTAGATTTATATTTCTTTCGCGCTTATACATATTATGGACACGTCGTTTCGACTTGTTTTTATAACCAGTAACTTTTCAAACCGCTCATTTCAGCATAGTCCAGTCATTTATGGACATCTACCTGCAAATCTTCAGATACCCCTGAAACTTTGTACAGACCTTCCCAATGGTATGATTAAACAATTTTTGGTTTTTTAGAACATTTTGCGCCCTGCTGGATTACCTCTTTCAAATATAAACTTTGATAATTCTGACCTATCACAATTCAAAAATAGACCTGCTCATTGAAGCATTTATTATGCACTGTGGTTTGTTATTTACTCTGTAGACCTTGCATTGCCTATTAGTAATTTGATGAACAACGTTTTTAAGTTGCTGTTTAATGGAACTGAAATGCAACAAGAACAATAAAATTGCGGTTGACTCAAATTTATTTGAGATGCCAACAGGAAACTTGGATGGCACAGTGCACATGCTATTATCTTAGTTGTACTGATGAACAATGTAAAGTATTTATGTTGTGGAATTTCTACGGTGGAATTGTTTAATTACGGTAGCGCATAAGGTAGTGCAGTTTACTGTAATCAACATCGAGGGGGGGGGGGGCACACAACAGTGATGATTCCTATTCATTGTGCTCTCCTTAATTTCTTTGTTACGGTTTACACCTTTGTTACGGTTTACACCTTTGGTGAGTTTTCAACTTTGTTTAATAGCTCTGCGAAACAATGTTTTAAATACATGATATTTTATATTATATATTATGTTATATTTTATATATTCAGTTCTTACACGTTATGTCCCCACTTTGCTTTCCTCTTGAGACTTATTAACCTATTAAGAACCCGACCATCACTTCCTACGTAGGTTTCCTCCGCAATTCCCTTAAAGCTAACATTATTACAATATACTAGGGATGTTACTAACACTATTACAATATACTAGGGATGTTACTAACACTATTACAATATACTAGGGATGTTACTAACACTATTACAATATACTAGGGATGTTACTAACACTATTACAATATACTAGGGATGTTGTTAATTTTAGCAGCCCTGATCCAGGGTCTGGTGGGCACGACAGTGTTTGATTTTGAAGTGGTGGATATTCATGGGAAGAATCTGAAACTGTCCCAGTATTCCGGCAATGTTACTGTCATGGTCAACGTCGCCAGTTTCTGAGGTTTGTGTTTAGAATAGTTAAGACTTTACTATTAGCGCTCATCAGAAATACACGTGAAAATTCCATTCGAATAACTCTAATTCTGTAATTATACATCAAATAAGTGTGTTTTTGCCTCAGGTTTAACCCCATCCAACTACGTACAGCTACAACAACTACACGAGAAATATTTTGATCAAGGGCTCAGGATAGTAGGTTTTCCATGCAACCAATTTGCAGAACAGGAACCTAAGACTGAGGCAGAGATCTTAGAGTTTGTTAAGAAATATAACGTTACATTTCCTCTTACCAGCAAAATCAAGGTACTAAATATAACGTTACATTTCCTCTTACCAGCAAAATCAAAGTACTAAATTATCCAATACTTTCTCTTTTTAAATCATCTCTTTCTTTCTAGCGATTTTATCCTCAGTAGTAAAGTAGAGCAAAAAAAAAGGAACATTATCTTTCATTTTAATCTTTCATCAATACTATTTATAGTATTGACGTGTTTTTATATAGTAGTATTTATAGTGTAGTAGTGTAGTAGTGTAGTAGTGTAGTAGTGTAGTAGTGTAGTAGAGTAGTAGAGTAGTAGTGTAGTAGTGTATTAGTGTAGTAGTGTAGTAGTGTAGTAGTGTAGTAGTGTAGTAGTGTAGTAGTGTAGTAGTGTAGTAGTGTAGTAGTGTAGTAGTGTAGTAGTGTAGTAGTGTAGTAGTGTAGTAGTGTAGTAGTGTAGTAGTGTAGTAGTGTAGTAGTGTAGTAGTGTAGTAGTGTAGTAGTGTAGTAGTGTAGTAGTGTAGTAGTGTAGTAGTGTAGTAGTGTAGTAGTGTAGTAGTGTAGTAGTGTAGTAGTGTAGTAGTGTAGTAGTGTAGTAGTGTAGTAGTGTAGTAGTGTAGTAGTGTAGTAGTGTAGTAGTGTAGTAGTGTAGTAGTGTAGTAGTGTAGTAGTGTAGTAGTGTAGTAGTGTAGTAGTGTAGTAGTGTAGTAGTGTAGTAGTGTAGTAGTGTAGTAGTGTAGTAGTGTAGTAGTGTAGTAGTGTAGTAGTGTAGTAGTGTAGTAGTGTAGTAGTGTAGTAGTGTAGTAGTGTAGTAGTGTAGTAGTGTAGTAGTGTAGTAGTGTAGTAGTGTAGTAGTGTAGTAGTGTAGTAGTGTAGTAGTGTAGTAGTGTAGTAGTGTAGTAGTGTAGTAGTGTAGTAGTGTAGTAGTGTAGTAGTGTAGTAGTGTAGTAGTGTAGTAGTGTAGTAGTGTAGTAGTGTAGTAGTGTAGTAGTGTAGTAGTGTAGTAGTGTAGTAGTGTAGTAGTGTAGTAGTGTAGTAGTGTAGTAGTGTAGTAGTGTAGTAGTGTAGTAGTGTAGTAGTGTAGTAGTGTAGTAGTGTAGTAGTGTAGTAGTGTAGTAGTGTAGTAGTGTAGTAGTGTAGTAGTGTAGTAGTGTAGTAGTGTAGTAGTGTAGTAGTGTAGTAGTGTAGTAGTGTAGTAGTGTAGTAGTGTAGTAGTGTAGTAGTGTAGTAGTGTAGTAGTGTAGTAGTGTAGTAGTGTAGTAGTGTAGTAGTGTAGTAGTGTAGTAGTGTAGTAGTGTAGTAGTGTAGTAGTGTAGTAGTGTAGTAGTGTTTATAGTGTTTATAGTGTTTATAGTGTTTATAGTGTTTATAGTGTTTATAGTGTTTATAGTGTATATAGTGTTTATAGTGTTTATAGTGTTTATAGTGTTTATAAACATTATTCCTTATATAACACAAGTCACGTGCCAGGTGAACGGTCCGGAGGCTCATCTTCTTTGGAAATGGCTAAAATCACAAATATCACGTGATACTGGTGAAACTGAGATAGACTGGAACTTCACTAAGTTTCTTAGTAACAGAAGAGGGGTTCCTGTAAAAAGGTAATTGGTTTGGTTCAAGAGCTAGCTGACGGATTTCATAACTTAAATTATTCAAAATGATGTATCCAAATAGGTGGGGTATCGGCAGTAAAATATATGCTACTAATTTGACTTCGCGTCTTCGCTATCTGATTGTTTGTCATGTACACGAAAGAAATTCACCTAATCTTTGGACTGAAACTTTCAAATGATCAATTCTGCAGGTTGGAACCAAGGGAGGAACCATTAACAATGGAGGAAGATATCATCAGTCTTCTTTCTGAACACCTAATATACTTCTCATCATAGAGAGTTCACCTGAAGTTAAACTTAAACTTAAAATATTTACTGAACTGAATTGTTACAAAAGGAATGGAGCGTTGCACGAAAGTTTCGTGTTAGTAATCTGTCTTGACTTGCGAGGACATGTGTAGAATTTTCGTAGCTGTTATTTGTACAGTGTTCTTTTCAGCAAATCTTGTTAAATGACGGTCTATCTTAAACCAATATCTGGAGGGTATACCTGATGTTGTTGAGATTTTGTTAAGACAATTTTATAAATGCTCTATTAATGATGTTTTCCTTGTTGAAGTTGAAGTTTAGATAAACGACCGCATTCTACTCACCATGTAAAAATGAACCTTACTTCTTTACCCCAATTTCGTGTTGAAACACCGTTACTAACGTTACACCGTTACTAGCGTAACAATTTAAAAACATCTGCAACTAACCCCGGAGGTAAAAATTCAGCCAATACCACGAATCTAAACAACTTCACACCTTGTTCAATGTTCACAGACTTTTAACTGAAAGTCTGGCAACTTCTGAGAACTGGAACATCTGTTTCTCCTCCTCATCACATTTACAGAGCTAATTCAGCTGGACCCTTGTTTTATATTCTCGGCTAAACTAATCAACCTTTTTCTCATATAAACTTAACAGGCGAATAGAACTTTAAACATGAGTTTGTTACAACAAAAAGGGATTCAGAGAAACATGAAGTGAGTGATAAAACCGCTCCAAATAATAACAAAAAGATGAAAACATCTGGCTGAGAATGGGCATGTTAGTAAACATTAAATTTGATTAACACAGTCATCCTAAACTTGACAAGTCCTTCAACAAACCCCACTATAAAGGCAGGCTCAATTCCATAACACGTCATTTCCAAGTCATGTTGTTAATTTTAGCAACCCTGATCCAGGGTCTGGTGGGCACGACAGTGTTTGATTTTGAAGTGGTGGATATTCATGGGAAGAATCTGAAACTGTCCCAGTATTCCGGCAACGTTACTGTCATGGTCAACGTCGCCAGTTTCTGAGGTTTGTGTTTAGAAGATCTTACTCTTTCTCCATTGTTTAATAATGGAGAAAGAGTAATTTATTAATGCCTTTCTCCTTCTTTTCAGCATAAGTTAGCATCAAACACTGAAACACAGCCTCCTTGATGACGTCATCAAACACAGCCTTCTTGATTACGTCATCAAAGACAGCCTCCATGATTACGTCACAGCCTCCTTGATTACGTCATAATTTTTGAGACCACGTCTTGTTAAATGGTTATTTGGACGACTAAAAATTTTCTTACATATCTTAACCCCCCCCCCCCCCCCCCAACATTATCTGACGTTTTGCTAGTGTCACGTGACTGCGGGTTATATAAAATTACAACTTTCATTCTCAGGTTTAACCCCAACCAACTACGTAGAACTACAACAACTACACGAGAAATATTTTGATCAAGGGCTCAGGATAGTAGGTTTTCCATGTAACCAATTTGCGAACCAAGAACCCAAGAGCGAGGCGGAGATTCTTGAATTTGTCAAGAAATACAACGTCACATTTCCTCTTACCAGCAAAATTAAGGTACAAGATCGCAAAGCGTATTTATGGATAAATCGACACTAAGCATTCCACAAACATCAATAGCTTTAAGATGTAATTTTCTAGATATTATCTTGATGACCCACTCCACCATTCTACCCGCTAACTAATGTGGTTAGAGGGTAGTTGACGTGGTTAATAACCACAGCAACTACCCTTGTTACCACAGCAACTACCCTTGTTACCACAGCAACTACCTTTAATCCCAGGTTAACGGTAATAAAGCACACCCTCTGTGGAAGTGGCTGAAGACAAAGATAGGGGGCTGGTTCGGAGATGATATCAAGTGGAACTTCACTAAGTTTCTCAGTGACCGAAAGGGTATTCCTTACCAAAGGTAACCTTATTTATTATCACTTTTATTTTATACACAAATCTTTCCAGTTATTACCAATAACCAATAACAAGCCCCAGTCTCTCTGTCCTCTATTCCCAGGGTACCAGTATTATACAAGTGTTAATTACAAGTTAATACCTCTATTTTCCCAGGTACGGCCCACAAGAGGCTCCTTCCACCATGGAAGACGAGATCCTCAAGCTTCTAGCTGAGACCTCTTAGATCCTTCCCTCTCTGGGTCGTGAGAATGTGAACCTCACTCTCTCTATCGTGGCCTTGATACTTTTAATATTTTCTTGTTTAGTTGAAAGACTTATCTACGGCACGTTGAATCTGTCCTTGCTTGGCTGAAAGGAACTTGTATATAATTTTCGTAGTTGGGATTATGTACTGTATTCTCTTCAGCCGATCTTTTTTATGACGGTCCATCTTAAACCATTTTCTGGAGGTTAGGCTTGATGTGGAGATTTTGTTGAGACAGTTTTTAACATGTTGTAGCAATAGTGATATTATTATTACATTTTATACGTTAGATAAAACAATGCATTTTACTGTTTGGTTTAACTAACATTTTTTTAAATCAGTGGCAAAAAATCAATGAAAGTTGTCAATAGGCAGTGGTTTGACGGATGATGAATATAAAATAATTATTGTCGGCTTTATTTCTCAGTTTCTAGGTTTAATGTTTTGTTTCCGTTTCGTAAATTGTACCATCTACTGATACCGTACGAACAAGATTCAAATATGATAGTTGGTCGGACACAGCCGATTAATCAAGATAACAGATTAAAGACACCACGTTGTGCGGATTTGATAACGTTACCGGAAATTGTTCAGAAAAAAACTGTACCCTATTGAAGTATGTAGGAGTTGAACTATTTATTCTCTGATTGAATATCTAAACCGGATAATTGTATATCACATTGAGGAGGAGTAGTCTCAGAGGTATCCCCAAATTTCTCTAAACGACCCCCCTCAGCGGCCAATCCAATCAACAGTGACCAGTGCGAAGTTCAAGACAATTTCTTATTGCAAAGCTATCCAGAGGGGAGTGAAAAATGCATTTAAACATTCAGACAATGTGGTCACATCCACTGTGCATTTAATATAGTGATGTTTAAAGTATTTTTCAGTCGAGCAATATTGGTATCATTGTTCTTAATCAATAAGCGATATAGTATCTACATTCATGATTAAATTAAACACTCAGAAATGGAAAGGGTGGTTTTGAATTTCTGTTATAGTTCTATAGTTTAGCTGTCAATCAGCAATATCCATTTTACAGTATATAAAGCGAAACGATAAATGTTTACATATCTGTTGTAATTTTACTGACACCACTACATCAACTTTAGCACGACTTTCCGTGAAAACTGAGAGATATGCCATTGAAACAAAATTGGAATGATAACTTTAGGTCCCGAAATTTGGCCCCCAAGTGGTAAAATCACATAGTAAATAAACATTGTTCTCTTTTGACACCACTTTATGGTTAGATAGAAGACGGGTTTCTACATGAATTTATACATGCTTATAAACTAAAGAGGATTGGATTTTTATTGAATAAAATAAATAATACATTATATTAGATTAGATATTAGATAAACTCGAATACTGCTGCCCGGTGTGGAACCCTGACAAAATCAGCGATATAGAAGCTATTGAAAGCATCCAACGACACTACACTCGTCGAATCAGTGGCTGCCAGAATTTTGATTACTTGGAACGCCTGCAGAACCTGAATCTTCTCTCATTACAGAGACGCAGAGAACGATACATCATAATCCATACATGGAAGATGATGAATGGACTAGCTCCGAACGACATCAACATTCAGTTCAAGGAAAGTTCCCGGCACGGCGTAATTAATGCCACTGTGCCTGCATTTAATAAAAAGGCACAATGCTCAATCTCGACCCATTATGAAAACTCTTTTGGAGTAAAAGCAGCCAAACTATGGAACCTGCTCCCCAAGGAAGTTAACACAATCCAAGTCTTGGAAACTTTCAAATCCTCTGTTGCTAAAAGTTTCCCGGATACCCCTCCCACAAAAGGGTATACTGCCATCACAAATAACTCTCTTCTGGAATGGACTCTACAAAAAGATCTAAGCCAGGAGTGATTGGAGGACGTACTTGATACTGTTGTCCAGAAGCGATCCCTGCCAAACTTACCTAAAGTAACCTAAAGTAAGTAAGTTTCCTCCTCGAATAGCATAGGAATGCTTAAAAATAACCCAATTTTGCCCGAAATGACACATCATAATAACATATATATTCTACATATTACACACATAAATATCAAGGAAGCGCCTCAATTACCTTTATTTATTGATAAGGAAGAGCACTGATAATTGATATTAGTCTGGATATTTCAGTTAATTGTATTTCCTCGAACCGGATGAGGCAATAGTCGCCACGAAAATCAGATTTCGGAATTTTTTACAGTGTAAAATATTTTCCTATTGTCTATTTTAGGAAGAACGAATTTTACCATATATTAATGAATACAATGAATAGTGAGTAAATCAGTGATACTGGAGCACGAAGATCTGTATCAAGCATTTTTCCACTCAAAAGTGCGCTGCTATTCATCAATCAAAGTTTTATCTTCATCATAAAGTTAAATCTTATGATGAACAATGAACTGTAACTCATTGAAAAGAGCGACTAGTGATTACACTCCAACTCAAGTACAATGTACACGTATTGTTCCAGAGATCACGATTACAAATGTGTTAAAGTCACGTGGTGTCGTGTACTGTGTTTGTGTTATAGTCATGTGATGGAGTGTGTTGTACAATGTTGTCAAGCAAGTTTAAATAACCGCAAACAATTGGAAAGTGTAAAACTCCGTAAAAGCAGTCGTGCAACATAGCGTTGTAGATTGTTAATCGAGAAAGAAAAAACGCTTATAACTTTATACTTTTATATGTTAAGTATGTAGTGTTTTTAGGCTGAGAAGCAAGAAGTTACTTCACAATCAGCATAACAAATTAACATAATTAAATTTTTGCGATCCGATTCAGCATTTTATTTAATCATCATCAGTACAGTACAACAACAGTAAATAATGACGAAAGGAATATACAAAACATTACAAACCTCTTCCATAGCCTGACTGACAGACTCCTTAAGGACTATATCAGGTGACTCGTTCCGACTTATGACAGTGTCTTGTAGTTTAGCACCACATATTTGGCAGGTACGTACTGAGAAAACTAGGGGATCAGATATTAGAAATGCTGGGATCAGATATTAGAAATAATGGGATCAGATATTAAAAATGCTGGGATCAGATATTAGAAATACTGGGATCAGATAATAAAAATACTTGGATCAGATATTAGAAATACTGGGATCAGATAATAAAAATACTTGGATCAGATCGTGAAAGGTAACAGATTCTGGAAAACAGACCTCGCTACACGGGAGGTGACATTTTAATTGAGATGAGCATTTTATTCGCCGTTGTTTGCTGTAACAACTTGTGACTAGCTGATTTCTCCATTTGCTGAATTACATAACGCAGTTCAATAGCATTACACCATATCCTTATGGTGTAATGCTAGAGATTCATGCAAAATCTCTTTAAAATATTGACTTTTTATAAAAATAAATCACGTATTTATCAACTTACTACCACAATGAGAGGTCTGGACACAGAACTCTCTGACAAAACTCAGTCCACAACCTAAACATTCCTCAGTGTGCACATTACCTGCAGTAAGTAACATGTTAGTTACTATTAGTAACTATTAACTATTAGTATCAACTAACAGAGTTGATAGATGGCTGACTGGTGAGGGTGGATTGCTGTTTAACTTCTGTACTTAATTGTTTAAATCTCACCCTAAACTTAAATCTAATGGAACCATAACATTAACCTTTAGACTCATCTAGCCCTAGAAACTTAATTTTAAGTGTCAACAGGTAAAACACTGTCAGTGAGGTGATATGTTGATCTGTTTTTCTCGTATTAAGTAGTCCTAGTTGCAATTATGATAGCTCACTATTCAGTAATTGATTGTTGACATACCGTTAATTTCTATGACAGATTCTTCATCTGCTCCAGCTTTTATCAGCATTCCATCTGTATTCTCTGTCATCAGATATTTCACATAGCCTGCAATGGATAGAATATGGATAGTCTTTAATTCCCTTAATGAATGCCATTCTTTTTTTCTGACTTTGCAATGCTTAACATGGTGACAATCAACAGTACGAAAAAGAGTATAATTTAATACTCACCAGCTCTGAAGAGCTGAATAAGGGCCAAATGCGCACTAGTGGGATGGGCATGGCAACTTGAAGATGCTCGATGAGCAAATCTGCGACTGCTTGGCCTTCCTTGGACGTAGATTGGATCCTTTGCTGAAATAGTTGTGATATAATAGCTTTCCTCTCAAAAAAGTTTAAAAACTCCTTTGTCATGCATAAAAATGATTGCTTTAACACCAATTGATAATCACAGTGTCAGTTATTTCACAGACAAGTAAAAAGTAAAAACCATGAGTTTGTCAAGTTGCCTTTATGACTAACAATCTTATCTGAGGTCTTGTCTTTGCTATAAACATATCAAATGATATCTGGTATGTCTTGATACGATTCCTTTACTTACTTTCATTAAAACACAGTGTAGTTATTGGTTCAGAGATGTAAGGTTAACCGAGTTCAGTATGAAGGTTTTGTGGGAATTTTCGTTGCACTAGTATTGCAGAAATAATTTAACAATAAAATATGATCAAAATGCTATTGTTACGATATGTAATACCAAAACTTTTGTATTCTCAACCGAGCAAACTTGCACTCATGTTGGCTTATCACAAAACTTACAGTTGAGACAATTTATTTCTGTGCCAACAAAGACTAGAACATTTCCACTCTTCGATAAGTCTTCCTTGTACACCTCCAGTGTTATTGCAGCCATAGTGCGTATATACCTACAGAGTATTATTTTCACCGTGATAAAACAAATTATGGGTGTACAGCTTCAGACGATATACACAATATGTATTTTGAAAGTTCCTGCTACTAAAACCTTTTGTATCTTTTATATATTTCAAAAACCCCCCTTCAAATGTGGGCGCACAATTTTTGGGCAAAATCATAACCAATATTCAGAAATCTGATTGATAAAATTGCAGTAAAAGATTTTTTCTAAAAGGTAGTCCTCAATGTTCTCTAGAGTGCTTCGAAGTGGGAAACGTTTGATCTAATCGAAAAATTATTCTGCTGGTCAGTGGTCAGCTCTAATGGTGGGATGATGATTAATCACTCTACCCCTGACTCCAGAAAACAATTCCAAAACCCTCTACACTGACCCCAACCCTAACCCTAACCCAATCCCTAACTGAAGCATATGCTGAAACCCTTACCCTAACGAGAAATTAGACCAACTGCCTTATACACAGGGGGACTATAGTCCGCACTCCCGACAGCAGCAGTTAGCGGCTCTTACTAATTCGCTCGCCCAAAAATTTCACGTGACTTTGGTTTTTATGGTTTTGCAGCCGTACAAAACGGTTTTACATAAACCCTAATCCCAACCCTAACCCTAACCATAACCACGAAGCTATCCATAACCCTTACCACAACCCTAACCCTAACCCGAGCCCTAAACACTCGAATTCATGTTTTACTAGCCTGTCACGTGACCAAAACGGTTTTTTGCCCATAACTCTACGTCATGGGGGGTGATTCGGAATCAGCGTCCAAAAAGACACCGGTTCAGATCAATTTCACACCCAAAGGGCCTTTTCACAAGAATCTTCTTAAAATTTGGGCGAGCGATTTAGTAGGAGCGGCAGTTAGCAGCAGTCAGCAGCAGTTAGTAGCAGTTAGCAGCAGTTAGCAGCAGTCAACAGCAGTCAGCAGCAGTTAGCCGCAGTTTCTTTGCACTATAGTCCCCCTGTGTATATGGTCATACCACGTGATTGAGACAGTTTTTCGCTGATATCTCGCCAGAGGAACACTGTAACCCTATATCATGTGGGGTGATTCGGAATCAGCGTTCAAAAATACATTGGTTTCATCTGTCGGGGCACTTTTATAAAAATCTCGAAGTACGAGTGTGCAGTGATTTAGCACGCTCACTAATATAATAGTGCAAACTTGGGGAAAATTACGCCACTGGTGTGATCGGAAGAGCATAATTAAAACCGACAACTTTCAATTAGAAGAACTTCAAGCTATTCCATTGTCCATCTAATATGCTTAAGTACAAGGGCAGAATGCAACATTAGAAATCTTTTCGCATTGAGAGAGGAGCAAGCAATAAATTATTAAGCTAAATATTTTAAGTTTTAAGACGTTTGTTTTATTAAAAATTAGGTCTAAAAACCAAATATTAAAATTATCTAGCTAAGTTAATATTTTTTGGCATTTCAAAAAACCATTTGCATAAATAAAATTTTAGTCCATAGCTAATGATCAAAAACAATTGCATAAAGTATTATTAAAAGGTTAAAAATCTTTTAATTAAAAAAAATTTAAAATCGTTTAAAATAACGAATTTTTGCGTGCAATTCTTTTTATAAATTGTAAATACTTTTATAAAATTTTATGAATATTTTTCCGTATTTCTTATGCATTTCTTATACAATGTATTTAATACAATTATACTCAAATACAATTTTAAGATGAAACTCAAATTTCAGGCGCGCCGCGCATATCTTCGCCAATTTATACTTTAGGGTTCACCTAACCATATTATATGCTTTTGCGCCACTGCGGGCTTACTGGGCCGCGCTCAGCCTGTCATTTCGCCTAATCTCTATTCGTTAATGAACATAATAGCCTGGGGTCCCCAGGTAACTTCGGGCGCGCTTGTTTCACAAGCCGTGAGGCGGGCGCGCGCTACTGCAAGCGCAAGGGCTCTGGATAGAGCAAACTTTAAGGTGTATATGCTGATAGCTAAACAATAACCATTGCTGAAATTTATATCTGTAAACTGGAATTAAACTAGAATTAAACTGGAATTAAACTGGAATTAAACTTGAAATTACCAAGGAGAACATTGTCATACGTTGTATGACCCGCCGCGCACGAAGTGCGCGGCTCCCCCTGTAGCGTCGAAGACGCTACAGGGGTATATATATAGTGAAGCGACCGTGGGGGTCACCACGTGATACAAGGAGAACACTAACGAACTCGTTTTGGCTATACATCAATTCATAAATAAATAAGTTCATATATAAAATAAAAGTCTAATAAAAGTATGAAAATAAAATTTTAAAATTTAACCGCGTTACAATATCACGAAGTGGAAATAAAATCAAATATAATAATTTAAATGCTAATAAAAATACTGAATGTGTGCATAAAAGCAAGTCCAAGGAGATAGGTTAGACTCAAATATTATTTGATAGGACGATGAAGGAGATGAGTAGGGGACGTAAAGCGAGTATTAGGACTTAAACTTAGGATTTCGAAGTAAGGTTTGAAGAGTCTGTTAGGTGGTGATTACTAGGACTTTTTAGGAGGTGATTACTAGGACTTCTTTTCAGGAGGATGTCGAAGGTGAAAGGATTCTGTGAGGTACTTTCCAAATTCAGTTGCATGGAATGAGTTCATGATGGCCCCATATTCTTTGAGCATTATGAGGCTTTTAAGGTTGTCTGAGAGGTTGGACCGGAGGGAGTTGTAGCTGTACTGTATACTGCATTATATAATTAATCAAATAGGGACAAACTCTCAAAAGGGAATTTTTCCCTGTCAGGGGTATTTAAAGAGGGTTTTCTTTAGTAAAAAAATGTATACCGTAGTACGAAGATCAAGCGCAAACAATTTTATTTTCACAAAATTACCATTTAGCAGTTCCCAGCCTTATTATTGCATTTCCAAACTTTTTTAGCCTCTGTTTTTTTCATGTATCCTTACTGCATTTGATTTTATGTTATGTGGAGTCCTCATGATCATCTATACTAATTCCTATTCATCCTGGAACTGGAAAAAGTCCCGCTCACATTGGGACCTTTGCTAAGTTTCTCGACGTAATCCGACTTATATGACCCTAAATAAAACAATTGACTCGGGTCCACCTTTTCACCAGTGGGGCATTTCTTGGAATCGCAAGTAACAATTATCACACATATTGAGTGGGGTAGAGCATGATTTAAAGTCTTGAGACTTCAGGTTGTTGATTTATTAGGTCAGATCCCATTTTTACGCTCTGGCGAGTAGCGATTGATGTACTTATTTCAAGATATCTCAGCTTCTGAGTGGAGATAAGTGTTCATCATGGGCATTAAAATAGTAAAAACGATCAAATTAAGTAGCATCGAGCATGGTTTTAAAGTCCTCAGACTTCAGGTTATTAAATTATTAGGTTAAACCCTATTATTACGCACTCGCAAGTATGGTCACTGCAACGGTGAAAATATTTATTAAATGAACTTTAATTAATCGCCAGGAAAAAGTTGTTTGCCAAGAAATATCAGTAAAATTTCACTAAAACCTCTATCATACTGACCATTCGAATGCCCATGATGAGCACTTAACTTCAATCAGAAGCTGAGATATCTTGTAATAAGTGTGTCAATCACTACTCGCAAGAGTGTAAAAATATGTTTTAACCTAATAATTCAACAACCTGAAGTCTGAAGACTTTGAAACCATGCTCTACCCCACTCAATATGATGATTCTGATCATTTCAATGCCCAAGATGAACGCTTAGCTCATATCATAATTCATAAGCTGATATATCTTGAAATAAGTGCATCAATCGCTACTCTCGAAAGCGTAAAAATGGGATTTGATCTAATAACTCAACAACCTGAAGTCTCAAGACTTTAAAACCATGATCTACCCCACTCAATGTGATGATTCTGACCATTTCAATGCCCAAGATGAACGCTTAGCTCCAATCAGAAGCTGATATATCTTGAAATAAGTGCATCAATCGCTACTCTCGAGAGCGTAAAAATGGGATCTGACCTAATAACTCAACAACCTGAAGTCTCAAGACTTTAAAACCATGCTCTACCCCACTCAATGTGATGATTTTGACCATTTTATGCCCAAGATGAGAGCTTAGCTCCAATTAGAAGCAAAGATATCTTAAAATAAGTGTGATAATTGTTACTCGCGAGACTGCTAGTATAGTAAAATCGGATTTTAGGCGATTTATCAAAAACTAAGTCTCTTAGGCCTTAAGTATCTTTGTAGCACTAATATAAACATGTATCTTAGGCACATTTTGGTTCATGGCTGAGGTCTGTATCTCAATCAGGAGCCGAGATAATTTATACTGGAGGTCACGATATGGGTGCGGTAAAAAAGGGCGTGATTCCGAGAAATGCCCCACTGGTGAAATAGTGTACCCGAGTCAATTGTGTTATTTAGGGTCATATAAGTCGGATTACATCGAGAAACTTAGCGAAGGTCCCAATTTGAGCAGGACTTTTTCCAGTTCCAGGATTATATCGTTTTTATCATATATGTTTTATCCCTCAAAAGTCGACCTTATATAATAATATGACATAATTTTTATCTTCACTATGCTTATTTGCGAATGGTTTATACTGAAATGGTTTTCATCGATCCTGTACAGTTACACTGTTAGAGATGTAAGATTCGACGGAATTAGAGAATCAAAATCACTGAAAGGGGTAGTGACCATCTACTTGCTACCCTGATTTAATATCATTATATAATCATCTTGCCTTTGTCACGAAATTCATCAATCAAGGGTCAAGAAAAAATAGTCTTGCTTTAGGTCTTTATATTGTCTATAGATTTGATATCTACAGAAAGTGCAAGTTGTTACAGAAAGCGATTTTTCTGTGAGGTCAAACCTACTTAAGGATGTCCTTGCTGTCCCAGAATTGTTATAACAATATACATATAAATATGCATGGTTAGACAGCTACAGTACATATTCAAGGGAATTTTAGTCTAATATACAAAACTATAAGTTGCATTTGAGTGTACTGCAAACTTGCTTGATTTAATGATTAACAGCAGTAAAATTTAAATTGGTATATTTTAACAGTTTTTTTTCTTTTTCATAGGTCATGGCATGCCCATACAAAGCAGATGCACGAAATCCTTCTTCAATGAGTGTCACAGAATGGACATTAGCGGTAAAATATTGCCATGCTATTACTTCAGTATATAACATTTTTTAACAATTACTTATTGATTCTCGATTTACAATTAACAAGCCATGATTATGTAAGATATTAACTGATTATGCTTCATATCATTTCAGATTCGACCAGATAAGCCCTCGGACTGTAAATGGGCAATTGGATCATCTGAACCTAGTCCTCACGTACACAACAAGTGGGCACCACCGTAAGTAGAATTATAGTAGTCCTCATGTACACAACAAGTGGGCACCATGACCACCGTGAGTAGAATTATAGTAGTCCCCACGTACACAACAAGTGGGCACCACCGTAAGTAGAATTATAGTAGTCCTCATGAACACAACAAGTGGGCACCACCGTAAGTAGAATTATAGTAGTCACAGTGGAATACATATAATCATATTTTATTCTCAATTTTAAATTGGAAACAGCTTACGTAAGCCTCTTAATTCAAAATAATAATAATATATTGTATCAACAGACTGCACTCAGTATCATTTAAGTTTAACCAGTAAGAATACAGTAAGAATACAGTAAGAATACAGTAAGAATACAGTAAGAATACAGTAAGAATACAGTAAGAATACAGTAATAATACAGTGAGAATGGGAAGAATCACATAATTTGTATTTTCAGAAAGTTTGGTGTATTGGATAACATTTTGGATCATATTGGCAACACTCCCCTGGTTAGGCTTGATAGGATTAAAAAGGACAAAGGCCTCAAGTGTGACCTCTGTAAGTAAAGCTCAGTTCACTTGAATGAATACAGAAACTCCAATCTTAGCTGTATTTTTCACTTCAATTCTAATTTGTGATTCGTGACAATTGACAAAATATCTGATCAGTCGCGAAGTGTGAGTTCTTCAATTCGGGGGGCAGTGTAAAAGATAGGATAGGATTGAGAATGGTTGAGGAAGCAGAGAAAGCTGGAACTATCAAACCTGGCGTTCACACTCTTATTGAACCAACCTCTGGAAATACAGGTGAGGGATAAACCGGTGAATTTTATAGTTTATAAGTTATCTGCCTATATTTATATTGCAGTTATAACTTGCAGTTATAACTGCAAGTTTTGTATACTTGATATGCAGAAACCTAAGATCTGATCATTATAAAATAGAATCATGCTCGTCAATACCTTCCCTTCCCATTCCAGGTATCGGACTGGCACTGACAGCTGCTGTGAAAGGTTATCGCTGTATCATTGTTATGCCAGAGAAGATGAGTAATGAGAAGGTCAGTGTTTTGAGGGCACTGGGTGCTGAAATCGTCAGGACGCCTACTTCTGCTGCTTTCGACAGTCAAGGTTATTTTTTATTCTCTTTTTTTAACCTATTTTATAATCAGGGTAAACTGTGGGTAGTTTCGCTTTTCCATTAGAATGGCTTTACAAAAGAAGTCATTAAAATAATAATGAGAAATTTATGAATGGTCTTATCCTATCATTATTGTCCAGTCTGTAGGTCAAAAGAAAAATTTTGTTGGCTCTAGATGGCGAGCAGGCCAAATGATTTAACTGTAAAATCTTCAGAATCTCACATTGCTGTGGCCCAGAAGCTGATGGATGAAATTCCTAACTCTATTATTTTGGATCAGGTAGTTTATCACTTCCTTCGATATAACGGCCACCTACAGTAAACAGTGTTTTATTTAGATTATTTTAAATAATTAAATGCATGTTTTAGAGCCGCATAATCAATAACAGAGTGGAAAGTTGAGATTAAGTTCGGAAATTTGAACCATAGTAGGAATTTTAAGTAGTTAAGTTTCCCTCTATATCATAATTGAAAGTTATATAATATATAACCCATATAAGTTATAAGTTGTTTTAAAAGTAAACTGATTTAAAGTAAAAGGTCACAAAATTCCTCGTTATCAACGCACATCCCCCAGGGAATATGTTATAAGTTACGGTATTTTGGGTCGACAATATATACACCGTGATAATACCAATTTTAAAAGTTTAGATATAAATTTAAGTTTCAAATTACAAGGCATGTTACCGATAATTCAATAAATTGTATCATTAGTAATTGAACAGCAAGCTCGTTTTAAACAAAGCTACACTGAAAAGTTAGCTTTTAAACTCGGCTTGACTGTTATTCTCTGTATTAATGCTTTTCATACAAGTCACAACAAGGTCTTCATGTTATGTACCTTAGGGCCAACAAATTTGGGTCACAATAAATTTGGTTACTATAATTTTGGTTACCATAATTTTAGGCGCAAATTTCGCAAATTTTTAGTCTACAACAATTTTAGTCGAATTTTTTGACTTTTCTAGACCATTTTCCATTCCATTTATTTATTTATTTATACATATTTTTTCCCTTCAATTTCGCATATAAAGTCATACTTTATAGTTAACTAAATACAGACAACGGAACACATGTATCAGAAATTTCCCATGGGCCCACGGCGAGCCAACATGTTACATACATTAGTTACATATCATAGCATACAATTTCTTATTACACGCAGTAGGGACCTGTTATGTGTACAGTTAGCGATATTTAACTGTTTATCATAAACATTTGATAAAGAATGTAAGCTCAATAAAATTTAATTCATATAATATGCTCTACTAAAATTTTGGTCTACTTCAAAATTAGTCGCCGAAAAATTTAGTCACATGAAATTTGGTTTACAACAATTGTAGTCAAAAGTTTGACTAAATTTATGGTAGACTAAATTTGTCGTTCCTAAGGTATCCTGGGTTTGGACAGGATATTACCCGCTTAGAATATTTCCATCACGTTACATAATTCTCAATAAATGTAACAGATTTGTAGTGTTGTAATTAATATAGTTATATTTCAGTACCGGAACGAGTACAACCCCATTGCTCATTATGATGATACTGCTGAGGAATTATTCCACCAGATGGACGGTAAAGATTAAAGAATAATATAACTATTTGTATTGCAGATTAATTGTATTGTAGATTTCCACTGCTTCTTTAACTGCAAAGTGGTTAGTGATGAAAACATGAGATTATAAAATTTGTATTTAATCATTTAAAGGTGATTTTGTTTCAATCTACAGAACTCAGAAGTTGTGTTTACTCTTCCTGTAACTAATATTATTTTCCAGGTAAGATTGACATGGTAGTCGCAGGAACAGGAACTGGGGGAACAGTTACTGGTATCGCCAGAAAACTCAAGGAGAAGCTGCCAAACATTGTGGTATGTGTTATAGTTGTTTAATGTTTATTTACAAATAATTCAGACGAGCCCCTGAATCATGCTGTTTCTAAGTCTACCCTTTGTGGTTAGGAATTATGATACTTGGCCTGGTCCCATTTTGAAGATATGATTTATTTTGACTAGATGAGCCTATTAAGTATTTTAATCTGTTCGTCATGACCTTATAAGGGCAATCGCCAATCGGTGTATCATAATCACCGACTCGGAGCCTCGAAATTAGTCTGGATACGTACAACATATAAACGCAGTATTATCTCGTATAATATTTGTCTGAAAGTATTTCCTTGTGTTTGACAGATTGTAGGAGTTGACCCAGAAGGTTCTAGTCTAGCATATCCAGAATCTCTAAACAAGGAGAGGGAAGGTGAGGCGTACCACGTGGAGGGAACAGGATACGACTTCATACCTACTGTTCTAGACAGAGACTGTATCGACAAGTTAGTTATCTTCTATTTATATTACTTGATAGTTGGGGGCAAGAGTCCTTTAAAAATATATCTGTAAGACTTTTTAGAGCTTGGGCAGATGCAATTTTGAACTTAAAAATACAAATTTTCCGAAAATAACCTTCATTTCTATGACAATTGTAAAATTAAACACGTTACAAAACACATTTTAAATTTCAAATCAGTAAAAAATAAGAATTGAAATCCAAAGGAAATAATTTCCATGAAATTAAGCATTTGCTCGGCCGCATCGAAAACAAATGTTCTCGATATGAGCACACATTTTAGGAACGGTCTTGTGTTCCACTCACATTCCACTCACATTCCACTATTACTGCTTCTTCTGTCTCAAACCTTTAGCTCCTGCTGAAAGATCATCAAGATTTAAGGAGCACCACCTCCTCATCACTAAACATCATGATCAAGATTTAAGGAGCACCGCCTCCTCATCACTAAACATCATCAAGATTTAAGGAGCACCGCCTCCTCATCACTAAACATCATCAAGATTTAAGGGGCACCACCTCCTCATCACTAAACATCATAAGGATTTGAGGAGCACCACCTCCTCATCACTAAACATCATCAAGATTTAAGGAGCACCACCTCCTCCTCCGTAGCGTCGTGTAATAAAGCACCTTTGACATCATCATACTTGTAACTTATCATCAGACAAAGAGAAACAATGTGAACTGTCACAGAGATCGTCATGTTAACCAGGTAAAGATATGTCTCAGTTAAAAAGAGGTTAGTTAGGGACAGAACCAAGTGTAGTGTCAGGGACAGGAACTTGTTAACCCCCGAGATAGAACCTCTATCTTGGGCTGGGATAGTATCCTGTTCGAACTCTTCTCTTATCAGTGATATCGTACCTGTTATCACTCCGGTAGATAATGTTAGGAGAAAGTAGATAACCATCCATATTGGCATGGTGTTATCAGTGTCTTCTCCTATCTCCTCCTCCTTCTCACTTATAAATGTAGTGTAGAACCAGCAGGAACTGAGATATGCAGATACTATCAAACTGATGAAATGCCCCAGAATGAACATATCCGCGAATCTATCACTCCATTTGAAGCGATACTTGATAACGTTGAGCAGAGCAGATAAGAGGAACAGTAAGTTAGTAGCTCCAGACAGATAACTCATAGTCAGCTCATCAAGTCCGGCACTCAGTAGGAACAAGTACACGTAGGTGTGAGTTATGGTGGTGGTGTCCAGGATCTGTACTAGTAAAACTTTTCTAATCTTGCTGTGGACAAGTGAGCTGAATTGGGTCTTGATGTTACCGAACAGTGAGACTGATTTCTTAGCCCGTTTGGGAGTGCCGCTGTAATCTCGAAAGAAGAGAAATGAGATTGAAGCTATTGCTAAGGAGAAAACAAAGCAGGAAGTGCATAAAATAAGCGAGGAAAGTTCCAGAGTAAACATGTTGTATACCAGTCCTACAATGACAACCTGCACAGCTGCCACAACGTTATCTATAACCGATCTAGCTGAATTAATGACACCCAACCTAACCCCATACTGCCGCCCCAACTCTATAAACAAATGTCTCTGAAAGTAAGTCTTATCAAAGTGGGCTATAAGACTGAGAGGGACTGTAAAGATAACAACCACACCCAGCCGGATATAAGGTGACCAAGCAGCCTGGTACATGACAACCCCGTACTGCAATAACAGGGTGCCCTGTATTAAGTACATGGCAGGAAGTAGCGTACCAGGGGGGAGCGTGTAGATGTGTTCGTTTAGTAGGGAAATGGAGAGAGCAGCCAGTGTCAGGAGTACAGCGGTTAGTTTGATGTATTGGGTAGGGTCAGGGAGGAGGTTGTAGGTGTTTACTAGGGTTAGGTAGGTGTAGACGGTGCTGCTGAGGGAGAGGAGGGAGAGGAGCAGGATTATTGTTGTGACTTAACAAGATGGAAAGAAGGTGGGGAGGAGGGAGGAGCAGGAGGGTGTCAGAGTATTGCTAAGTTGGGCTTGTTATTGGGTTTCATATAACAAATTATATTAGGGAAATGTACATTTTCAAGAAACTGGATACAAATTATATAATGTTTTCGCACAAGCAACGCCTTAAACGCCGTACAACAATATGGTATAGACTATAGATATTATTATAGATATTCAAGGAAAAATAGTAAATAAGGCAATATAATTATTTAGAAATTATGCTGTTTAGGTTAGGCTACCTTAACAACACTTCTTACACTATTACAAGCAAACAGGTTATGCAAACAAACCAAGTATGCATACGGCTGTCTCATTTTTTCCTCAACATTGAAATTGTTGAAACATTAAGGAAGAAAAAACCAAGTATCTCAGTTGAGAAATGTGTTAGAAATAATATTTTAAAATGTGTTAGAAATATGTTAGCATTGCCACCACCAGTAGAATTAGTGTAAAAAGAATACTTAATTTCAAGAGTTAATTTAAATTTTGTTAATGATTGAAATACATTTAAATGGCAAAGATAATAATATAACATGATTTTATCCCTTCAGATGGATGAAGAGTGAGGATGGGCCCTCTTTTGCCATGTCCCGCCAACTCATCAGGCAGGAGGGACTGCTTTGCGGCGGAAGTTGCGGTGCTAACGTCTACTGTGCTGTCGAGGTAATTACCAATTAATTAATCAATTAATAAGTTAATTGAATAGTTAGTTAGTTAATTAATTAATTGTTTACTATCAGTTCAGTCGTAGTTGAAACTAATCATTCAGTATTAAGTTCTTTATAACTTTACAAGTAAATCGAGAGTTTTTAATAACTCTAATTATTTTCGCTAATTGCCGCTAATTATTATCACTAATTGCCGCTAATTACAGGCAGCGCGTCATCTGCCTGCTGGGGCCCGAGTTGTCGCCATCCTGCCAGACTCAGTAAGGAACTACATGACTAAATACCTCTCTGATGACTGGATGATAGAGAATGGATTCCTGAACCCTTCTGAGGAGGACGAATTGTCGCTTCAATGGTATGCACTCACTTTCTCTTTCTCTTTCTTTAAGTTAACTTGCAATGGAATGGTTTTAAGTTCTTAAATTGACTGATCAGTTTAGTCGATTGATCGGGTCATCAACCTCTCACTTAGATTTATTTGTCGTTCCTCTTACTTTCATTTTAAATTTTAATTTTTCTCTTATTATATTCCAATATAATAGCTTATTTTGGCAGGTGGCACAAGTTGCCCGTGTCTGTGATAGCCATGAAGGATCCAATTATCATCTCATCCTCAATGAAGTGTCAGACTGCAATGCAGATCATGAATGATAGGAACGTGGATCAGCTTCCTGTTGTGGACACTGACGGCTCTATTTCAGGTAATATTGTATGGTGTGACATTACAACAGGTGCTGTGACATTGTAACAGGTGGTGTGACGTCATACCACGTGATGTGACGTCATAACACGTGCTATTCAAATCTTGATTATTTCTCTGAAGTAGGGGACCAAAACATGAACAGTTTGAGGAATTTTCAAAATATACGAAATATATTAATCACTTAATTATCTACATTACATTATACATCCATCTGATCTATCAATATAATATATTATATTGATATAATCTATTAATAGAATAATTATTACAGGAGCAGTAACGCTTCATAACATGATGAGAAAGGTTACTAAAGGTCAAGCTGCAGCTCAGGATCCTGTCTCCAAAGTCATGTACAACCAATTCCAAAAGGTATTTAAGCGGTTCAATTACTAATTGGAATGATTTAACACTCATTATTGAACTCTTTCAAGTTGAACAATTGACGAATTAATGATATCGATTGATGACAATCGATTTAGTTACAAAATTTGTTAACGCTGTGTTAAACGTTTACTGCAACCTCGTAATGATCATGAAGTGTGATGCCCTAATTAAAATATTTTAATTTCAAGACTGAAATTATAATCATACGTAATAATTTGGAATAATAATTCCATTTTGCTAAAGAGCTCTAAAGTTGCCACCCTGTTAAACAGAGACAAGAATGTGTGCTAAATAATATGCTTGTTTGTTCAGTTGGCACTGATCCAATATTCTGATCATGCCTTTTCTGTTGTCCTGGCAATGATCCAACATTCCGATCATGCCTTGGCAAATGAACATATTTTATTAAACTTTGAAAACTTGGATAGATTTAATCATTGATTCGTTTTGCTATTCTGACAAGTGACAATTCCAAGATAGATGCAGCTATTATAGCCATACTTAACGTTTAGTCTTTCTACACTATTCCAGCAGCTCCTGCTGCCAGGGAGGCTTTATAAACCCACAACCGTATTGTCTTCGTCCCCGTTACATATTTTCATAACCTCGACTCTAGTGCCTGTTATTTTAACATATTATTACACGAACCGTTCTAGAACAAACTCACAGTCGGGAGGTTAACCTTTGTTGAGAGTATTGTATGAGATAAAGGGTCACAAGACACAAGTATTGGAAAGAATTCTTTATACCGGTATTATGGGCGATTTAATTAAGTTATTGAAATGCTTTATCGAAATAATGACTAAAAGATATGAACAGTCGATCGTAAAATTGAACCAAATACAAAATATTATTATTTCAATTCAATCAACTGAATGACTATGAGCCCAATGCTGCATGAGTTCAACGTCCTACACCAACAGAAGCGCAGAGATAGTTATCATTCCAAGCCGGGGTCCCAGGTTCATCGATGAGAATACAGCCTTTTCCCCGAACATCTCCAGCCCACGAGAAAGAAAAATCTAAAGGAGAATCCCGGGGAACACACAAGTAGTTATCTATCCAATGGCCAGGTATTTGATCTGCGACACGTGTACACTTCATTCCAGGAATAACTCCACCCCAACTCCACCTCAGACCGGGGTTCCTGTATCCAGTTTCCCAGCACAACTTGTTATCGGCCCAGTCTGGTGCTCCTGGTTCCGTCACGGAGATGCAGTCGTGTCCTGGCAGAGCGCCAGCCCAGCTCCATTTGTACTGTTTGGGCCAGTGTGGGTAGCCCGCTTGAGCGTCAGATAAGGAGAGCGCTGAGAGGAGAAGGAGGGCGGAACTCAACATGGTCATTTCGTTATGAGGCTGAGTTTTACGGTCGGAGATTTTATATAATGTGAGCTGGATGAGATGTGTTACTTTTGGATAACAATAGTTGTCAATGATTTCTTTTGTACAAAGTGGAGTGTTGTCAGTTGGGAGACTGACAATAACTCGGTGCCTACTTCTTTTATGTTTATAAACATGAGGGAAGACTAGAGGAGAGGGTGTTATTTTCAGATAAATCTTAATTCTGCTACCCCGTACCAACTTCGACGGACGAACATCTTAAGTTTGTATTGTTCTGCTCTTTTGCGCAACTTCTCGCCTCAAGCTCAAGAAGGCTCCCTTTTCATCTGTTTTGTTAGTTCGCATCTTCATGTAAAACTCATTACCAGTACAGCTGGTACCATCATGGTTAGAAATATTGGGGTCACGACAATGTTTGTCAATATTATTTTCGCAATGTTAATTCTGGGGATAAAGATACTGTGGAAAGTCCTGGCAATATTATAATATGATTGATGTACAGTGAAGATTGTGTTAAGAACCTTTTTAAAATTCAAACAGATTACCGTCCGCGTCGTCAAAGTTTAAAATAACAAAATGTTGACAAACATTTTCCGGTATTTCACCCGCTACCAGCTGTACCCTTAACAAGTTAACAATCCGCCAGGGTTTGGGTTGAAACCAGACCCCTATTGTGAGGGTTCCCCGTGAATCTGGGATCTTAAAGATAGTTATGTGTTTAGTTACAATATTCTACATAATGACATTATTAATGTAACGATGTTAAGTAAGTTTCTCGATCGGAGCATTGCATAATATAATATTACATTAGTTCTGGTTATTATTTTCCTCATCTGATTATTTTACTGACGTAAATAATTTGTTTCCAACGGAAATGTTTCTTATCTCATTCCTACACGTATTACAGTCCCTGAGTGCAGACAGAAATTACATCGTATTGACGTATTGTACAAAATTACATTATCTTGTTAGTCTTATCACGCTTTGCCAATTTGACAAGACGCAAGACATATTGTGTTGGTATGGTACAGCACCAGTTTGTCGGGCACGTGGTTACAGTGTGTCGTAGTCACAAGGTACAGTCGGTTGATAACGTGATCAATTCTAGCCAGCGATAAGGACTGGATTAGATACTTTACCGAAATTAGATCCACAGCTCACAATTCACATTATGAGTTACAAAGAAGACGCTTGCGTTCTAAAAGGATTGGCTTATTTTTCTCTTAAACTGCAAGAATAATATCGTGATAATAATACCAGTGACAATATTAGTACGAATTTTGTTTTAAATAATCCCAGCCCTAACTATGAATACTCTGAATGTCAGAGACGTACACCACCGCGATTCGGCGCCGCGAAATTTTCTCCCAGACCGCCGCCACGAAATTTTGACCCAGACCGCGGTCTTTGAGGTATTGGCCGTCAGATCAACAAATACAGCTGTTAACGATAAATTAGTTCTTCAATGTAGAGTGATATTAAGAAAGCGATTCAAATACATAAGTTACACAACCAAATTACCATAATGTACACACTACACAGTACACCTCACAGACCGCGGTTTGGATATCTCATAGTGAGACCGTCGCCACCGGCCAATTTTGGCGTCCAGACCGCCGCCGCCTAAAAGTAACACGGTGCACTGCTGAGTGTGTTAACAGGTCGAACAGGACCGTTCTATTGATCGGGAATATCATGTGTAATATCATTGGGGCTCACTCGACACACAGCATGTTGATGATTTGTGTTTTTATATTCTCATTTCTCAATCTGCAACGGTTAAATCCATATAAATTATAAATCTACATAAGGGCAATTCCACGGTAAGGTTCCACTTGGTGAAAATGAAAAATGTTAAGATAGGCACCTAATTTTGGTTAAAATATGTTCATTAGACTATTAACCTTACAGGTCAACAAAAGTTTTTTGTTTCATATTGCATTAACTTTTGATTTTTCTCATTCAAAGGAACACTACTCGGAAATTTAAAAAATCATTCAAATTTTCAAAGGGCCATAGTTTGGGTATGCAGCAATATTTCTCTATGAAATTCCATACACTTAAGCATAGGCATAAGAATGAGAGCTATGCAAAGTTTCAAAACCGTTGCTCAAATACTTTTTCTAAAAAATTTCCACAAAGATGGTGTCGCGTCCGTCACAAAATTAAGCAAAAAAGTTTTTTCAGAGCCACATAGTGCTATTATATTCAAAAAACCACTGTAACCTATCTCTTCTGAAGGTAAGGGAGTACCGTAGAAATTATCAGACTTGTATCTTTTAAGAAAAAAATTTTGTCCCAACTTGTCGCGTCCGTCACATTTAAAAAAAAATGTTCCAAAAAATATTTTAACAGACTTTAAATGCATTTTTGTTAAAGCTGAGACCGTCCTTAACAAAACATTGTTGTCAAATCGAAAATTGGACAGAAAATGACTGAGTTATGTATAATTTTGTATATGCCCATATATGGGCTTACGGCTCACTTTTAGCCATTTTTATCCATATTTCCATTATTTTGACTAAAACCAAGACAAATTGAAGTCAAATAAGGTTTGACTATGTTGACTAGACTATCAAATAACATCATATGCAATTCAATAATTAAATTTACTGAGTTTTGCCATTTTATTTGCCTTAACCTTTTTCAGGGGTAAAAGGCACAAAAAATGGACTTTACCCTATTTTCGCATATTTTTGAAGTAAAAATTCAATATCTTCCACATTTTAAACACTAAAGTAATGAAACTTTTGGGAGATGGTCTCAACAGTGTGATGTGTTGAACAGAGATGAATGTTTTACCAGAGTTATAAATTTGTTCAAGTAGAGAAATAATTGCTGCCCCTAGATTGATACCCTAGCGTATGCCCAAAATGGACGATTTGGCTATTGCAGACCTCGTGGAAGTACTTGCGGCCTAAAAATTGGCATAAATATAGAATGAAGGTCACTGAACAAGATAAAAGTGTCAAATAGAAGATTTGGAGGAATTGAAAAAAAACGTGTGTCCGTCACAGTCACGTCCGTCACAATTTGAAAATGGCGCCACGCAACTAAAAACTGAGCAATCTCCAAAAAAATGGTATCTCAGAAATCCCTAAACCTTTTTCTATCACTGCATGTCCAAATTAAAGATAATAGATAACGTTTTGAGATAGATTTGGGTACCTTCTGAGTAGACACCCAAAAAAAGTGTCATATTTTAGTCGCGTCCGTCACAGGGGTGCTATCTCAGAAAGTAATAATGGTAGGGGTCTGAAATTTTCACACAACCTATAGAAAGGTTAAATGTGGACTAATAAATAGTTTAAACTGATAAAGAAGCAACATCCTGAGCACAACATTCGTTTGAACTTTAAAAAATGGCATAATCGTGGTGTCCGTCACGGTGGAATTGCCCATAAATGGGACTTCGTACTGAACGGTTTTCGGATTATTGAGTCCGGGCGGAAATGGAAACCCAAGTTATTACTATCTAACGGAAAGATTGGGTGTTGTCTGATAATACCACTTGAAATTACAGTTTACATCGTCACGTTGTCAGAAGTAACTAGATGTTGCTCGGTAGTCGATATTAACCGCCAACTTTAAGTCTTTTAACTATAGAATAGAAGCGTACGTATCATGACGTAACATGGTGTAGTATGACGTTAAATGGTGTAGTATGACGTAACATGACGTAATTCTCGCAGGTTTCTGTGGATACATCTCTGGCTGTAGTTTCTAAGATGTTGGACCACGATCACTTCGTCATCGTTACCAAAGGGTGGCAGTACTGTGAGTAATACTTATAATACTATAAATTACACCAATCATACTAATAGTAATTATGCTATTACATTAATTATGATCATATTAATTATACATAGTTATAATCATAATAATTTTGGTAACTTCATACAAATATTTGTTCATAAAATCTGAACTGATAAAAAAGTCCATAATCTTGGTATTTCAACACTAAGTCTCGCTTGAATGACTTAAATGTACATCTTTGTCGGGTTTATTTTAATGTCGAAGCGTGTAATAAATGTTAGAATTTATTTATTTATTATACTAATAGTAATTATTGCATGGTCAACAATAACCCTGCTGAAAGCTTGCCAGTTAGAAAACGTTAGCTTAGTTCAGTGGACTTTCTTTGTGCAATATAATTAAACATGGTAATCCTGGTTTATTATAACCAAACCAACTTAAATGTGAACATTCTCAGGTTTGTTAGTTCGTGGTTCAAATAAAGTAGAGTCCACGTGTTTCTTACCACCTCACAAATATGCAACACCTAGTAGCTAGTAGCTTATAATATGGTACAGACGTATTCACAAATATGCAACACTTTGTAGCTAGTAGCTTATAATATGGTACAGACGGATTCAGACTTTTGTCAAATTATTAATATTAGTGAGCTTCAACAAAAGAGAGGAATCCAGTTAGAGTTAGGATGTTAATTTCATTTTCTATAAACTAGCTGTTATGTGTGTAAACGAATTTAACTGGTCTAAGAAATGTGGAAGCTACAATTTCAAACATTTCACAAATCTTCAAGTGTAATTCATGACTAGTTCCTATATCACCCTATATCACTATTCTATCTACATTTACGTGGTTACTGTCTGATCGAGTGTTTTAAAAATAAGATGGACCATTTTTGGTTCTTTGCTACCATCCGGAAAATGTACCCCTACATTTTTGGTTCTTTGCTACCATCCGAAAAATGTACCCCTACATTTTTGGTTCTTTGCTACCATCCGGAAAATGTACCCCTACATTTTTGGTTCTTTGCTACCATCCGAAAAATGTACCCCTACATTTTTGGTTCTTTGCTACCATCCGGAAAATGTACCCCTACATTTTTGGTTCTTTGCTACCATCCGGACTTGTACCCCTACATTTTTGTCTCAAAAGATATCTTTGACTATTTAATAATAAGAAAAGACAACATCAGAGTAATTTATTTACCTCATTTATATCTTCTGGTATAAAAGATGTAAGCTTAAGAAAAAGAACTATTAAAACTTAGAAGGTTTACCATGAAAGGAAACAATTGTAGAGCAGAGAGGGTAGGATTATTATTTCCCCTAGAGACTAAAGACTCTAGTTACCTGTGTAACCGGCTCTTACACAGATGTATTTATAACCCAACCGGTTTTTAATACGTCATCCTCACCGAGCATTGGGTATGAAATACTATACTAACTCCCTCTAGCGGTCAGACAAATTCAATATTAATCCTGTCTTAATTATTCAGAGATCGGACTTGAAAGCGTTATTTTATCCAGAATCAGCTAAGTCATAAATGTACACTGATAAGTTCGGTAACTCAATTTCTCAGAAAAACATGTGGCATTAATTTGTCCCGTGAAATGAAGTGAATTACATTTTCATAGAAGCGCTGGTTAAATATATTTGTCTGACGTAATTCGCTGCAGACATGCTGCCCAGACAATGCGTATAAACCATGGCTACTTGTATTAGGAGCAAGTTAAAATTGATAAACAACAATATTGTAGAATATAAGGAGTTTGGCTTGTAGTAAGTTTATAGACTCATGGTGGTCTCTAAGATGAGTCATAATTAAATTCTTCAAAATTGTATTTTTATTCTGATCAAATTTCACGAAGTGTTCTATTAGACTTTCTTAGCGAAACTTCCATAATTTACATTTTTATTTATTATTTCGATCACTTTAGAGAAATAAAAGTTTACAGTATGTAAGTTATTAGTATCTAAGTTAATAGTATGTAAGTTAATAGTATGTAATTTTATAGTATGTAACTACTACTACTACTACTAATATGTCGGAACTAAGTCCGATCTACGCCAGATAACCCCTTCCATATATCCCTGTCCCGCATCAGGGAAAGTCGCGTTAAAGTTGATGCCGTGGCGTCAGTAAAATGGTACGGATAAACATATATATATATATTATTAATATACATATCGTCTCGCTTTATATATAGTAAGATGTAAGAGTTCATTTGTAGTAATTTTCAGACGAGGATGACGGCAAACCTGCACCACGTGAAATGTACATTGGTACTGTCACCGCCTCCCACCTGTTAGCTTACATCATAGCTGGACCTCACCTTTATACCAACGGGGTATCAGATGATAAAACCGTCGGATCAGATGTCGAAAGTTTAAAGTCATGTGATAATGAGTCGTGATGCCGTGATCTGAGTATGTTTCACTTTTTTTGTGAAAGCTGATGTTTCACTTTAAAAGCTGATGTTTCACTTTAAAAAACTGAAAATGTGCTGGTTTGCTGATTTATGTGTGCGTGTGTTATATATTAGTGTATGTTTGCAGTGATCTATATATTCTGAGTCTGATTTTTACAGCACTTAAATGAATTATGGCGAAAATGTGATGATACGGAACATGTTATATATGCACAATCAAATGACCTTTTTTTGCCATTCTAAACTTTTTTTCAATGCATTTTAATTTCAATCATAACAGCAAAGCATCATCCTTTTATTATTTTACTGAGACTCTCGGAGTTCACCAAAAAGCACATAATTTTCAATTTTATCTCAATATTTTCATTTAACCCTCAAATCTTTTCATACATTTTTCGAATTGGGTGATGTTTGACTGCACTAAATACACTATATTTGCACTATATTTGCACTATATTTGCACTATATTTGCACTATATTTGCACTATATTTGCACTATATTTGCACTATATTTGCACTATATTTGCACTACATTTGCACTACATTTGCACTACATTTGCACTACATTTGCAATAAATTCACTTTATTTGTACCTAATAAAGTATGCAGTATGAATAATAATATGGTAAATTTCTCATCTCCAGATATAAGCTTGGTGTGGTTTTAGTTTGGTGTGGTTTTTAGTTCATTTCAAAATATTATGGTAAATATCAAAAACGTTAGTTCGAGTAATAACTGACAAATTAATATATGATTATTCTGGTGAACGGCCAGTACAGTTGGAAATTCTAATAAAATTTAAGGAATTCCTGAAAAAGATCTATATCGACATTTTGGGGCATTTCAATTCACGATACGGCAACTAATGCCAGTAGCCCAGTATACTAGCACTGCGTACTGTGTTTAAGAGGCAATTTATACGTTACAATTATTCCTACCCTTGTGAACATATAAATCTGTGTGAAAGCATTGAACGTGTTTTAAAGGTGCTACCAAAACCCGTTACACCCGTTAAGTTAATATTTGGATGGAATTTGGATACTAAACTCAATCAACTTGATACCCTGATATAATTAGACGTGTAAATGTTACACAATATTGCTTGAAATCAGAAATAACTTTACCTAATATTGCGGTTTGTCATGATGATAGATGGAATGTTCGACGGGAAAATAAAATGCTTGAAATAAGTACTGATTGAGATGGAATAGATGATACTCTAGTAAAATGAACACTAATTATTGTTAACCATTTGCATTATAATATAATAGTAATAACAATGTGTAAAATCCGGATTGGAATATTATTTATGAGTCGCATAGTTGAAATGTTTTCTTGGGTAAATTTCTGTTGATCCCGTTTGATGCGACAAGGAGCCTTTTCCTTGTCGCATCAGACGGGATCAATAGAAACATATCCAAGAAAACAATAATAATATGATATATAATATTGTATTCAGATGACGATGACGGTGTCCACACAGAGAAGCAGATCGTGTTTGGTATACTGAGCAGAAGTGATATTGTACACTACCTTATGAACGAAGGCTCAGAGGAAACACCACCTAAAGTACCCCTTACCAATGGTTTCCACTAGTTCCCTAGGGACCGTGTTTTGGGATGAATCTATTTTTAGAGTTCGAAACGGTGGACATTTTAACATAGAGGTTTCGGACATTTTAACATAGAGGTTTTGAACATTTTTAATTAAAAGTCTAACGAGCATTTTATTTAGGTATATTTTCATTCAAAGAATATGCCGCATGATTATTATAGATAGGGATACTGGTTGGGAGCCGAAACATATTTGTTCTGACACGTGCCATATATTTACCAGTCAGCTGCCATCATTGACCAATCAAACCCCAATATCACTGTCACGTGTCACATAATATGTTTTATCTCCCACCAGTGTCTATTGTTTTAGTTTTAGCATGCTTTGCTTTTTAATGAGTTGTTTTTTAGGTTTCTTTGTGCAAAGTTATATGATTGGGTTTTTGCGTCAAGTTAAAATAGTCTACAGTGAAACTCTGGATTCCGGACCAAACGTTAAAGATTTGTTAATAGTCCCGTCGAAATGCAGTCGAAACCGAGATTTCAGTTTCCACCGTTTATTATGTATAATTAGAACATAGCCGGGATGTGTGACTTCTACGTCAGGCGTGATAGTGAAATTAATCATATTAAGCATCATATTCATATATGATATTGAGCAATGAGCTTCCCAATTCCTTATTCCTTTAATATCCAGACTAACTTATTTTCAAAAAAATAATCTCTATTCTCTGTCCGGATCTAACCGGCCAAAGTTTCACTGTAGTTAAGTTATAAGTATTTAAAAGTGTACATTTCCATTTTATAGTGCTGCGATTTGTATTGAACCTAGTGTCCCTTTTTTAAGTTTGACAAATATGTTATCGTTCCACTACAGCTTCAAAACTCGATTTTAAGATCCAAAATACGATTATTTCAGATACCCTGTCCCGTGACCTCCTGGCTCAGTCAGTTTGTGTCCACTGTCCAGTGTCTCCTCAATTTAGGGCGAGTTGGAGTTTCCGCTCTTCATTTCTTCGAGTCAATTATATTAAGTCGAGATATCACTTAAAATTTGATTTAGAGACATTTTCTTGTGTTTCAAGTGATATCTCAAATTTGGCTCGTAGAAATTCGTCCAAACTTGCACAGATTATCAGCCTTGTACTCATCTTACTGTCTGAAAATCGCATCTGAGGAATTTGGAGATAATCTTCCGTTAGTCGCACCACACCATGAATATATTTTCTTGTGTTCGAAGTGAGGTACATCAACACACGAAACGAAACGAAACGAAACGAAACACAATATTTACTACCCCGCTCGTATGCGACAAAGATATTGCATAAAATATACCTAAATAATTTACACAATACGGTGCCCATGTCTGAGCGGCTCTCCACAAAAACTTTCTCTCTTCCTCAGAGCAGAAAGTTTTTTTTTAAATATATAAACTGGGATCTCATAAAAAATTTAAGAACCAATGTACTTTATTTCCAAATAATACCACTTCTGATATAATATCGTCTCTTCAAGTCCTTCTTTGCCTTCTCTTTCATCTCCAAAACGAGCAGATGATGTCTGGCTTGCTCCTCAGGTGACCGATCTGGTGAAATGAACACAGTTTTGTGGTGCTCACTCAGTTTCAGGTTTTTCGATTTTGATAAAATCTGATGTACAGTATTCGAATTTGATAACAAAATTTTGACAGGTCTGGTCTTGTCAGCTGATTTCCTGAATTCTGAAATTCAGAAAAAGTTCAAACGATTGTCTACAGACCAGTTTTTGAATTTCGTAATTTCGGCATTCAGAAGTAAAGTTATGACTCATTGAAAAATATTGATTTCATCATAAAATACACATAAAATTCCAAACACGCCAATAATTATGACACCCTGCTGTATCACTATCAGATTATCCGTCTTAAAGCTATCTGTCAAGTTTAAAGGAAATCGTACGTCTTCTAGTAGAATCTATGTACAAGAAATTAGTCTGCGTAATTGCATAAAACGCTTGATTTTAGGCTCTGTCTGGTGTGCTTTTTGTAACGCGCCAAGACAATATTATGATTTCCATGTAGCGCTCGATCGATAACGCACGTGAATCGACGCGATCCGAGCTACATCATACCACATACATGTTGCATGCGATCGTCTGGATCATGCATGTTTGCGTACATAATTAGAATGACGTATGCATAAAACATGGTCGGTCATCCACCAGCTTCTGTTATATGACGCTATTAATTTCCATATAATTACGCTATCGTAATTTTGACACAATTGACAATAGCTATGTGTAAAGCCAAAAACTGATTACGGAGGGGGGATGGGGGATTAAAAATTGTCCAAAAAGTGATTACATAATACTAATATGTGAACGACCCCTAACATAAATCATAAGTTCACATTTCACACGATCAAAGTCAATGTATGAATCTGCTATTCAAAGTAACTATTTCTTGACATTTTTGTCGATCTTGCTTTTACACCAGCTCATGTAAATAACGGAGAGTCCAACATCAATTAAAGATGAACTATGCTTCCCACAACGAATCCAGTCTGAGTGCGGTAGTGGCAGAAGAACGGTGCATGCTGAAATAATAATTCACGTTACGTTGATGCGAGTCAATTAATTACATAGGCAAGCATATTTTATCAATTTTAGGCTGACTTGTATGAAGCAGAGGACACTTTCTTGTTACCAAAAATTACCTGTAATCCGAATAGAGTGAGCCAGAAGGCAAAGAAGGAAATAAAAGCCGGTACAATTTCCTCTGTTTGCCTGTATTTAACAAAGGAAACAACCAGTGTTCAAACCGAACACCCTGTAACATGCATCATCTTGTATGTTTTATCGATATCTCGTACATCGTAACTTAGTTATACTTATAGTGTAACGATCAGAAAGTGTTAAATATCATAAAGCACAACGTTTGTATTTTCAACCACTAACAATACGCAACCACTACACGATTAATTACAATTTTAGCAAACCATGTCAGTGCTGTTGTCTTGCCGTTCCAACAGTTATAGTTCCCAGTATCATCTATAACAGTGTTAAGTACATACACTATAGACTATATAGGTTAGAGTAGCGTACAACTGAAATTATACGACAGTCTTATCTTCTTGGCTTTCAAGGAGATAAAATGATAACACTAATTGGTATAATGTTTGACAGGGAATGCTAAAAACATTCCCTCTCGCGATTAGTCTTGTCCTAGTGAGAATAGATTATTGCATGGCTCCCCCTGCCCCCTGGTATATTAATTATTCATGACATGTTTTTATAGCATAACTAAGTAATACATTATATTTATATTAAACTCACCAAATGTGCCACTAGTAAGATGACAGGGGGCGGGAGATACTTTTTACCAAATGTCACCAAACTTTTTATAAAATCACCCATAACTCCCTGGAAAATTTATCGAGCACTTATACCATGATTATTACTCATATATAATATGAGATGTTCATATATTATACTGTTCAATGCAGCTGCCCTAATGTGCATCACTAGCCTAACTCTAATAGATGAAGCCTAAAAACAATAAATGGTAAACATTTAAAACGGTTCCATCAAATAGATTTTGTGTATTAACAAAGACTTTCTATCTATTTCAACCAAAATCGGCAAATTATGCGTCTCTCAGTCTCATGTCTCTGGAGGACAAAAAAAGTGAGGAAATAAAAAAAGTAGTGAATAGGTGAAAGTCAACAAAACGAATAATTTTCTTTCAGTCTGCACAAACATTGCATTAAAATGGTCATGATCAGACGATTTTTCACAAAGGAAAGGCTATAACTATAAGTATAAGTCAACACGACTCATTACGTGACCTTACATCAAAGCTCAGCCATAGTGCATGAGAGCACGTTTCCTTGATTTTTGTAGGGGATTTGTAGGGGATTTGACCCTTGTAGGGGATTTATGTTCCGGGGTATTTGGAACAGGTTTACACGATTTTACACGATTAGAAAATGTATTTGTTATACTGGAATAATAACAATTTTAAAATATAAAATAAGTCACTTCCCTCTGAAGTAGAACAGATGATGGGAGAGCTTCAAACATGGCGATGGAGGGAAGCGGTGTCTCACCGCTGGGAGGTAAATTAATACCCGTATCGCGATGGTAAAATTTTATGATATGAGATCTCAAGTAAAAAATAACACAAAAAATAAAAAGTGAATGTTGTCAGTGTAGTGAAATCGGAGGCAACATTAATAAAGACGTATACACTTAAACCGTTACAATTATAGTCCCCATCTTGTTTTAAATACTCACAATAAAATACACACAAAAAACACACAAACGTCCCCAAAACATTAACTTCAATTTATATTTCCCTAGTTGAAATTAACTTATTTTATGAAATTGATACATTCGAGAAGATATCGTGATTACATGGTAGCCATCCATGATCCCCATTTAGCCCTAGGTTTTGTATATGAAGCACATGGTTCTTAAATCTCTTTTTAAATAGTGAAATTGACAAAATATGATACGGTACATCATGATCAAGGAGATAATTTAAAATTTTGGATGCATTAAAAACAAAATTACTATTTTTGGTCTTAGACATTGAGAATTTAGGATATAGCAGTCTGCATGATCTACTTGACTTGCTAAACCGGCGATAAACATCAACAGGAATTTGTTCTTTAAGTAGCCTCATTGCAATACATCCAGTAAAGTATGTAAATAAGTTAAACAAGGTTAATAATTTCAAACGAAAGAACATTGGTTTCGTATGTTGAAACTTGTGATCAATCTTTGTTGTTTTTCTACTCACAATACGAATACATTTTTTCTGCAACACAAACAGTTTTTGCAGCAAAGGATGGTGAAAAACAGCACCCCACAGTGGTATACAATACATTAAATATGGTTGAACAAGTGAAATATATACTTGTCTTAACACTTTGGCTGGTACTATAGAACTTATGGAGTAGAGTGATCCGCAAGATTTTGAAACTTGCGTTATTACATTGGTAATATGATCATTCCACGTTAAATTAGAATTAATAATGACTCCCAAAAATTTACACTTATTCACTTGATTAAACTGGTTGTTAAGTATTCCAACAAACTTTTGATTCTTAGGAACTTTACTACTTCCGAATTCCATAAAACAGCATTTTTCAAAATTAATGATTAACCTATTTAAGCAGCAATAGTCGTGAATCTTTGATAATACCTCATTAGCATTTTTGTAGAGTAAATTTCGGTCTTTATTTTGAAGAAAAAGGTTTAAATCATCTGCAAAGAGGATAAATTTAGCTAACTCACAAATATTTGCCAAATCATTGATAAAAATAATGAAGAGCAGGGGGCCTAACACTGACCCCTGTGGAATACCACAGGTTATTTTCAAGAGACAACTTTCGAATCCCCCATAGCTAACATACTGAAACCGATCTGATAAATAACTGTTTAATAATTTAATGACATTTCCTCGAATACCATAGTTCTCCAGCTTTTCTAACAAGATATTATGCCGCACTGTATCGAAAGCTTTGGAAAAATCTATAAATATACCTAATGTAAAATTCTTATTATCGATAGCATCATGAAGATTTTCTACTGCTGAAACAAGTGCATGAAAGGTTGAGTGCTTACTGCGGAAACCAAACTGATTATCACAGAAAAGATTGTGCTTATTAAAGAAATCAGATACGTTTTTATGTATTAACTTCTCGAAAATCTTAGCAAAAACAGGTAACATTGAAATAGGACGATAATTGCTTATATCAGAAATAGATCCTTTATTCTTATACAAAGGAATTATTTTTGCTGCTTTTAATTCTTTCGGAAAATAACCTTCATTTGCACATTTATT